TTTCCCTAGTTTCCTCCCACTCCTAAAGGCTGCATGAAGGTGCAGATCTCCGATTAACCAGTTAAGCAGAATTAGTTCTACACTTGTTTTTATACAATCAGGTCATTCATATCTGAGATTTTTAACTTTTTATTCTCCTTTCAAAGAATAATAACTTCCAAAGTAAAATCTCAAACATTAACAGTTGTTTGGGGTCTATTAACATTAAATGCTAACATAAACACTCTCAGTATCCTAACAGCCCATGAAAAGAAACTCCAGGATTTGCCATCAATCCACATCGAACCTTACTGCACAAGAGTTCAATGTAGACCAAGTAATCAGCTTCATAAAAATAGTGATTTAACATGTCACCATTTTCAGAATTCAAGGGAAGTTTAATTTCTCATAAAAAGCCTGCTTCGTCACAATTCACATAGCTATCAAGTGAGGCTATTTTCTGTTTCAGGATGGAAGGATATTCATTTGCTTATTAGAGTCTCAGACTCACAGCTGGGTTCCTGATGGTGGGATTCGCCAATAAACACAGAGACTATCTCCACTTATGACTATTACATAGCCTTGATGTCTTTGGGTACTCTCCAGGGAAGCTGCTTTGTGTTTTATCGCTCGTAGTGAGTGCTTGGCATAGTCTGAGTGCATCTACCAAATCAGATCTCTCATGGGATGAAAGAAGCTTTCCCTAAGCTGTTGACAGCACTGTGCCAGTCAAGCATTTGTGCTACCACACAATGAAACATGGCAGAGACTTCATCTATCTGATGCATAACCCAGTGACAGAGAAAAGAGTTCTAGCTCAGCACATGGCCACACAATCGTTTTAATAATGCAAAGAAGGAGTGTCTTGAGCACCACTGCTGCCAAACATGTAAGTACAGTGACAAGGTGCTGTTTCACATTACCTCTAATACAGTCCAATGACAGGGTGTCACCAACTGCAGAGTATCTCTTTCCCTTTCCTCCTTCCCAGTGAAATACCCTTTCTGCTCCTTGCCTCCAACCTAGTCACTTCTTGTCTACAGGAACAGTCTAATCAGCAAATACACCTGAGGAAAACTCTGCTCCCCCCCTAGATTCTCAAAAAGCCACTGGGTCAGTTGTATCAGCAATTGCTAGATCCAGCTCTAGGGAGGATGCAAAGAGATTCCTCTTGGCAGCACCCTGTGTTTAGACTGGACCACGTGTGATGCGATGGCCAGTAGCCTCATTTTACTTCTAAACCAACTGGTTTAAGCATTCAAAAGGAACAAGGTATCTGGATGACCATAACAAACGCATCTCAATTACTTTATTTGTTACCATTGTTGTCATGGAGCTACATTAAGAGGCAGGCAAAATAGCATATACCTAGGATGTATGGAGATGGATAAAAACACTGAAATAGCATGCATAGATACATCAAAACTAGCACTCTATATCCTCATACATCACAGAGGGATCATCTGCCACCTGACCAGACTGAAGAAGCTAGTAACACATACACCTCTGTAACGATAAGAACAGCAGAAAATCCAAGAACAACTCCTTCCATCTCTGGAGCATTATAAAAACAGATGCATCTCCAAAGTCTTCCTTAGCAATATTTGACTAAAAAGTACAGATCAAATTTGAAAATAATTTTTCCTAACTGTAACATATGGTAACACAAAGACACAGAACCCATGGAAATACCTGGTTTGGGACCACCTGCTGATGATACACACACACACACACACACAAATTTTAGTTTCTACTTGTTTTCCAAAAAATCCAGACTAACCCTAGGGCAGCGATAGGTGAAATTTTTTCTAAGGACCATCAATACTGGGCGAAAAAGTAACTTTCATACATTAATTCTTTATTGTCTTCAACCTTAAAGATCATGTCTATTCCTATGTTAAGAACTGAGCTCAAACGTTTTAGTGGTCACTTGAAGAAACTAACCATGTATTAATAAGCATCATACCCAAAGTATGTTTCCACATGCAAGCACAAGTTTTATTCTCAACATCCTGAGTTTCTGTGATTGAGTAGCTTTGCTAACCTTCCAGATTTACATGTATTTTATTTAATATTACAGCTCATATACACTACATATTTTCTTTTGCTGTTCATAATCCACTCAAATACTTGAAACTCTTTTGGTGAGCAAGCTGATACAATCCAAAGGAATCAGATTTTTTTTTCTTTCAAACAGAGAATCATTACCAAAAAAAACACAACGTTTTTTGAACTTGATACCATCACAGTCCTGAAAGCAGCTCTACTACAAATGTTAGTGTTAATATTGCTGATAGGCAGCAAAGTACTCTTTCACTGTTACCACTACAAATTTGTTTGCATCAGACACTGGTATCAACAACCTCTGCTTAAGCAGCAAAGTGAATGATTCCTGACAAAAGACGCCTGTTGGAGACTTACAGATGAGGCAAGGAAACTCCCTGATTGTGGTTGAATTTAAAGAAAAACAAGTGAGACCAAGAGAAAAAATTCTCATTTTAGTCAAGCAAGGGGAAGTCAACAGCAGAAAAAGATGCAAGGGCATAGGTCATGTTCAAGTGCTTTCTACAACAGATACAAATGTTTAATGTTAAACAATCAGACTCTAAAGATAACTGTAAAGAAACATTTTACTTCTTACAGGAACCTGACAGGACAACTCTGGATTAAGGCCTGGGCCCCACATACTCAATCATACATCTTTTGTCAGTCTCCAATTCGAATGACAGTTGATAAATTCAGGATCTTAAAACATGCTGTAAAAGAAATCTCCATAACCACTCGAAAAAGCAGATCTCGTTTAACAGGTATGAAGATGACGAATGGATTTGGTGACTTCACTCAGAGCATCACAGACTTCTCTAAATCACAAAATGAGAACTGGTCCTGAGCACACTCAACAGTCACCCTGAGCACACAAAGACAACCTTCCGTTGCGATGCCACTGACAGCACATACTTTTCCTCCAGACCATTAAAAGAACCTTACCTTCTGTCTTCCATATAGCTACCCAAAACCCCAGAGAAAAAAAGTCGCAAGAGGACAGGAGGGGTTCAAAGCCTGCGTGATCCGTGGCATAGCAGGCAGAGGCACAGGGCCTCCGGAAGCTTACCTTGTATGACATGCTCTGGGGAGATGGTTTTCTTCTCCGATTTGTTGCAGATCTCGTTGGCCTCGGAGGAGATGAGGTGGATGAATTCAGTGCAGCAGTTGACCACCAGCTCCCGGGCATCGTTCGCCACGCGGACGTTGGGCAGCGTTTCTTTGATCATCTTGTTGATAGCAGCCCTGGGGATGGTGAGGTCGTCGTCGTTGCCGGACGACGAGGCCATCCTGGCTGCCGCTCGCTCCCCGAGGGGCGCTCAGCTCCCGCGCTCACGGGCTCCCCCTCCGCTCCCGCGCGGGGCTCCAGCGCGCGGGGCGCCGGCGAGAGGCGGGCGGTGCCGCGGGAGGCGACGCGGCGGAGGGGGCGGCGCCGCCGCCGGGGGACGAGCGGGCCGGGGGCCGCTGCCGGGACAACGGGGCGCACCGCTCGGGCTCAGGGCTCCCTCGGCCGCGGCGCCTGCCGCTGCCGCCTCCACCACATCCTCCGGGCGCCGGCGCCGCCGCCTTATGAACAGCCTGAGAGAAGGCGAGCCGCTGAATCACCCGCACGCGGCGCGGCGCGGCGCGGCACGGCACGGCTCCGCTCCCTCCCTCCCCAGCGGCGGCGGCGTCTGGCCCGGCGGTGAGGGCGGCCGCGAGGCGGAAACCGCCTGACTATGGGCTCGACCTGCGAGGGACGTTGCTTCCGCCGGAAGACGGGACACGCTTCCGCCGCCCGATCACGCCTACCCGGGGAGTGCCGGAAGCGCGGGCAGCGCGCGGCCCGTGAGGCGGTGCACGTGCGGGCGGCAGGGGCGAGGTACCTGCCGCCCTCCCGCCCCTGGGCTGGCGCCTCTGCCCGACCTGCCCTTGGCTCCTTTGTGCTGCGAAGGGAAAACACGCAGGAAAGCAGCCCAGCCCCCAGCTGCCGGCCAGGGACAACCACACCTGAGCGACCCTGAGGGGCTCCTGCTGCAGCCCTTACAGCTGGCAGGCCCTACGCTTTGGCTGAACCCTTGCCCTCAACAGCGGGTGACTGAGGCTCTCTCCTGCACTTCGGGGTGTAGAGGGGCAAGGGGCCACGGTCCTTCCAGCTCCAGCAAGAACCTGTCATTTAATCCCTGACCTCCCTCTTGCAACCTCCCTGCTATTCCCACCTCTTCCCCATACACACACTGATGGGAAGCAGGAGGGGACAAGGCACCAGCTTTTGATTGTGGAGGTGTGAGTTACATGTGGAACATAGATGAGGGCTCCAGCAGGCCCTGGCCTACAAGCACGCCCCTGCCTGCAGTCCTAGGAAGGTCCCTGCACTGCCACAGCCCTTGGGCACCCCCCAATGAGTCATGACTGCAAAGCAAGCCCAGCATTACCTGAAGCCCTTGGTATCTGCAGGAGCTGCCTCTGCTGGGGCTGGTGCTTGGCTCCTCTGAGGAGACGCGGGGAAGGGCAGGACTGGACCACTCCAACTCCCAACATGAAGTTAGATTTAGGCTTAGAAAGTAATGAGGGAAAGAGAAAGCCCATTCCTGTATCCCCAGTGTACCCAGCTGGGCTCTTCTGAGTGAAAGGACTGCTGCTGGAACATGCTGAGAACCTGCAGTGTGGAGGCCCCAGGGCCTTCATCTCAGCCCAGGGCAGCTCGGAGGCAAGGATGGAAATCGAAGAACAAGGCAGCCATGCAGAAACAGCACTTAAACCCAGGGCCCTAGCTTTGTCCCACCTGTCTTGCAAGACTACTTTTAGAGAAAGAGAGGGAAAAATCTTCTCATGCTAGAATTCTGGTTTAACGCATACTTATTAGAAAAACTTGGAAAAGGAGAGCCTGGGGCTTAGCTTCAAACCACTCAAGGCACTGAGGGTACTTAATGGATTTAAATTACTTCTTACTGATAAGATTTTGTTATTTTTGCAAAAACTAAGAAGGTAGTCGAAGATGCTTTTAAAAAGTATTTTATTGTCCACTATATGTGATATGCCAGCAACCACTGCCTATAAAGGAACCATTCAGGATATTATAACAGATATATGAGAAAAATATTCCAGTTGCAACATTTTAAGGTTGATGAGACTTTCTATTAGGTTAGTGGTAAACAGATCCGAGAATGCTACTGGGAGGAACTATTATACTAATTCTATTCTACTAAAATACGATATTTTTATTATATTAAGAATCTAAATAATTTACATACAGTACACACCTCTGTATTCTAATAAGTGAAGAGAATCAAGTTAATACTGAATATGCAAGTATTAGTCAATGTTCACATTACCATGAAAACAGGTGTCTCAAAAATGAACACTAGACAAAATAAACCTGTAATTAGAGAATGTTAATTTCAATGTTCTGCAAACTGTAAAGTTGAAGATAAACATTTTGAGCTGAATATCTTGGCTAAGCTCAAATAAACATCCTGAATGCTTTTGTTCTGTAGTTGTAAAAAGGCATTAGAACAACAACATACTGTGTTACCAGTAGCTACAAGTAATTTCAGTTTGCACTATATCATCTCATACTTATTGTGAGGGTTTTCCCAGGTCAAAGCTCTTTCTACTTCTCCACCTTAGCAATTTGATAAAGTTAAGACTTGCACTGAAGATTTTGTCATGATGAAAAACCATTTTGTAGAATATATCAATGGGTAGATCTCCATTTGGATCTGCATATTTCAGAGTTGTCATCGGTGTATACAAGGTATTGGTCTGATGGCGAAAAGGTGGATTTTCTGCAAGAATTATCTTTACTGTATGCTATCAAGAATGAGAAACAGAACTGTTAAAGAACCTTTACCAAAATAAAGTAAAAACATAGTTTTCAGTTAAACTGAAGAAAAGTAGAAGAATAAAGCGCTAGAATTATGTAAAACCCTGTATGTTGTTTTATTAGTATTTCATCAGAAATACTACTTAAAATATTTTTAAGTCTGTAACAAGTACTTATTTATTCTTAGTCTTCTGTTTATCTATACCATGGTGATAGCACCTTACACTTAAGTTTCCTGAATAGTCCTCCAAAATTATGCCTATATGCCCACAATAGGTAGATCCTTTCTTTTACAGTTCACTGGGATAGGATTAGAACAGTGCACTTGGTAGCAAGATCTGGGAATGTTCAGTTGACACTGAAGCGATTCCTTAGCAGCAAGCATCTGAAATAATTGTCACACTAGCAGAGGTATTCCTAGTGAGATGCAGAGAAGAGTGGCTTTAACTGATGGTGGGAACCCTGTGTAGACATATAGTAACACTGCAGAACGTCCAGACTTCACCAGATAATGTATAAGTGCATCTAATACCTCAGTGGTATTTAAATTATAATTCAAAGTTGTCTTCAACACTTAAAAATTAATTTTCTTTTAATATTCTAAAGGGTTTTGTTTAAAACTCTTGAGATCCTTGAGTTTTTCAAAATAATTTAAAATTGCATAAGTTACACTTAATTAAATGTAATGCTTCTACCAAAAAATCCCACCAACCAACCAGCGCATTCATAAACTACAAAGAAAAGAAAATTTGAGAAAAAATAAGATGGAGAAGTGTTGATGAATTACCTCTGCAACATCATCAGCACTTTGTCCCAGGCTCTGGAAAATTTGTTTGTAGTTTTTAAGGTAAATATTAGTAAACATGTCAGCTGTTTCTTTATCTGCGGCTGAAAGATCCATTTTCATTCCATCTTCAAACACTTTTCTTTCAAACTCTGTAATCACTGGGCCTGGTTCAATCAAAGTTAACCTGTTCAAAAAGCAAAGATATACTTGTTATTGACCATCCTCCATGGGAAATACACCCCTCTATCCTTCTCAAAAAATATTGAGGACTTGCGCTGTGAGTACATATTAGCAAGCAGTATTAAACAGTACATTTTGTAAAGGCAATCCATACCACATTATTGCTCTTATGTTCCTACCCATCCACGTGTAGAAATCTGCATAGCTTAAATTTCAGGGAAGTGCGGTAACTGAAATTCATGGTAGAAATTAGTGCAGTTACTACCTGCTGTCTCATATCTGTGTAATCGAAGGATGATTTATCCACAAGAATTTATCAAATATTTAAAAGGATCATTAAAAGATGATAACAAAATTCATTACTTTCTGGATAAAATTCCACATAGATTTCTTCCTTATAGCTTTCCCATGATAATACTAGAAGTAGCTGAAAGATAAGGGAATTGCCCAAACATGGATTTTCCTTGTCAAGCTGTCAGTGTTACATAATTCAAGATCCCTCCACACTATAATAATAAAATACAATATAGAGTATTTTGCCGTGGGTGGACGGATTTTGGCTGCTGCCAAATCTGGAAAATTTTATTCTGCAGAGTAGCATAGTATAGCAAGTTACTTTCCCAGTTCTTTTCTCAGGCAGTAATTACTCCCAGCCACTACGCTTATCAAAACACTCTTTGGGATACAACCTCTTTGATTGACTTGAGTTCTGATCAGGTTCTTCTTCCAAACTAAATCAAGCTACTGACCTCAACAACAGAATTCCAGCTGCTGCTGGAATTAAAGCCTTTTCTCTTGCATCCCTCTTCACACTGGACCTTGAACTTTTCCCATTCTACTTCCTTCTTTTTAAGCTCCTTTTTGCTGTATCTTACACTCTTAAAACCTTATGAATTCTGGTATATCCTGTGTATCACTACAATATTTTTTTTTAAATCCCTCCAAACTTTTCAGAGCAGTATGCAAAAATCACAGTTTGGATGGTACTTTATCTCTGAAAATTCGTGATAGCAGCCGTCTCTTCTCCTACAACACAAGGGCTAAATGCTTAGGTACACACAGATACAGGGGATATTTAACAACTGTTGGACTTCACACAAAGAATAGTAGCAGAATTACATGAGTGTGAATATACATGTGACAAATCAAACCTCGAAGTCCCACAGACAATGAAGAGGACCATTCTCTTAAATACAGCCATAAATGTCAAGAAATAGTACACCTCATCCTTCTCACTTTCTTCCCACCTCCTGTTATTATAGGTATCTTGCCCATTCTGATCGATTTTTACTTGCTCTCTCTTTATGATGAGCCACTAAACTTCTTTTATCTGTGAATTCCTTAAGTCTGTTATCCTTTCTGAAGGAAAATATTACAGGTTGATATTATTATTTTATTCCTATGATATTGTGTGCAAGAATCTGTTTTCAGAAGTGTTACATAAACTCTATTTTATCCAAAGCTGAACAGCCTTTAACTGTTCAAGAAAACATGCTTATTTTAGCATCTGGGTCTTCTTACTTGCTTATGTAGTGTGAAGAATGTGGACATTTCTATGCCTTTTGTGATGTACAATTTCCATGGGTACCTCACAGTCTGTTTCTCCTAGATAGCAGCAAGCTTTAAAATTTGGTTTGCTAGCTCTGAATATATTCAGAGCTATCTAAAATACAATTTACATCAATGGATCAATACTTACTGCAGTTTGAACTTCAGTGCTTGTATAGCTAAACTTTCACAAAATCCTTCCACAGCAAACTTAGATGCAGCATAAACATCATTAAATAAGATACCTGGTGGTACAAACAAACCATCATGAGAATGTGATTGTATTCAACATACTGATAGTTTAGTTTTTAAAACTCTTGTATTTCCCCAAAATTTCTACAGTCTTGCTGGGAAAATATTAGAAAAATCCTTGTGTATACTGAATCTAAACACTGTTTTTTCTTGGTATGTTCTCTAAATTGATCATTCTAGGAAAGGATGCTTGACTAATGCTTTTCCTCCTCCTAGCTGATGCTGTGATTTCTTTGGATGGTACTAAATATTTTGTAGTCTAACATAAAAAAGTGTCTGCAATACCATCTGCATTATTTATCAACAAGACTTTAATAGGCTGTAGATGAACACAGAAGCTGAATGCAATGCAGGAGATATGAGATCCAGCTTGGATCTGAGGGATTTAGAAGAAGCACGGTATCAATCCATTTAGGTGGATGGTAAATATTATATTAAACGATAACAACTTTTGCAGTTTGAATTAGGACCCTTGCTCACCAGAATAATCCAGGTAAGATCAATACCACTGTTGCCATAATATAAACAAATACAGCTAGACCAGATGGAACACAAGATCAGGAGCATCATTATCTATCGCTAAAATTAGATACTGTGGAGTTTTATAACAGGAGAAACTTTACGAAATGGTGGTACAATTGTCCAGGACATGATTGGATTTTATTCCACTGTTACTGTGCAGAGTGTAGTAAGCATGTTTGCCTGTCTGCATAATCTTTTCCGATAGGAAAGAGAAAAAGAATGCTAAGGCCCATTTTCCAAATAATAAAAATATAGTAATAAAATTTAAGAAAAATAAAAAGAATTAGAGTTTGGGTTAAAACTCTAAAAAAAATTACCTCGGCAGGTTTTGTTGTTAAAATGTCTTGAGAGTGGCTGTGTAGTAACATACTACCTAAATGCATAAAACCCATCAAGTCTTAGTGCTGCACTTTTATAGTTGGAACTTCAGCATTACAAAGAGCAACAGTTATATATGCTAGCTCCTACTTTGTTTTCTTTCCTCAGATAAAACAAGGTAAGCTTTAGATTTTGACTACTGAACTCTTAGTTTAAACAAACAACAAACAAACAAAGCCAAACAACTTTGCCTTGTATTCCCATAACACTGCTTATTATAACTATATGCCCGCTCTTTCTCCTCTTCATGTCAGGCAAAATCTCCTTCAGGAGTCGAACCAGTCCAAAGAAGTTGGTATCCATCACGGTTTTCATTTCATCTATGGTCTGACACTCAATAGGTCCAATGAGCCCCATTCCAGCATTGCTAACTGTATAAAATGGAAGACAATAGTGAGCAATAATCTCCATAAACATTAACTTGTAATCTTTACTGGAAAGCACTTGAAAGTAAAATGAGGATTAAGGATTAAATGATCCTTAAGTAATCCTTAAAGGAAGGATTAAAAGACATTATTACTCTGTTCCTAAAGCTTTGCAAATACACTTGATGTTTCCATATGTTATATTATGCTTTTTATCTAATGTAAATTAACTGATATTTTGTGTTTTAACCAATTTATTAGTCCTTTTTCTTTAAACTATAAAAGGATTACAGGAAAATGAGCCAAGAATTACCTGTATTTGTTTATTATTCAATATTAAGAATTGGAGGCTCCAGTCAGTACCCATAGAAATGAACAGAAGGCTTCAATTAATTCTAAAAAGTGATAGACCAAGCCATATTTTGGTCTGCTTTTTGTTTTGTTAACATTCACTTAAAGAAAAATCAAACAAGAAAACCCCAAAACAACAACAATGAAATGCAAACAAACAACAACAAATAGACCCACACACACTTCCACTGATTTTTATTTGCCACTTGGATATTTACAAGTGAGGAACGATTGATAGAACTGGCATTCTACACTACAAGTAGTATGTCTAATTAGAGTATTATACATTTTGCAGAAGGTGGTTGTTAAGCAGTGCTTTAATAATTAATCAAAACGAAGGCAACTCCATAATTTTCTACTAGAGAAGATTTAATAGTTGATGGTGTAAGCAATTTCCATCTTACTAAGATGTCAGTATTTATTTTTAGCAAAATAGTGTGAAAACACTTATTGAACAATCTGTAAAGTACAATTACAATTCTCAATCCAAAATGAAAGTACCCTTACTTTCTAGGTGTTTTTTCTTTTACTTGCTAATTACCAAATGGTGTTGCCTTCATTGTAAATAGGGTTAAGTTCCATCGATAGGGCAGAAAAGTTTATATGTTAAGATGCCAACTGAGGCAAAAGTTCTCTCTTCACATTTACTGAAAACTGTAACATCTTATCCAAAACACTTTTCTGTGATCAAGTTTCTCCTTTGTAAACAGGGAAAACGAGCTTCCCTACTCCAAAAAAGCATGGTGAGATTTCATCCACTCATGTCTGCATGAAGCCTTAAGAATCTTAAGCAGAATACACTATATAATTATTATTACTTTGATCATTTAAAAAAATACACTAATAAAACTTCTCCAGGGTATCTGAGATTATGTTAAATAGAAAAATGTTGTCTGTTCATAGCATACACATCCTGTACTTGCCTAGGACATCAATCCTTCTGTCAGGGATACTATTCACACAAGTTTTAATAGACTGTTCATCACAGACATCCAGTTGTTTAATTTCAAGGGTTTTGCCCAGCCTGCGACCTACAGCTTCCTCGAGTGGCTCTTTCTTGGCCAGATTCCGCATTGTGGCATATACTGCAACACACCAGAAGCAACAGTTATCAGAAACAAAACCTTTTTTGTGACAGTCTTAGTGAGATGTACTAAACAATATTGCTTTTACATTCGTATCTTAAATATCAGTGATAGAACCCAGATAAATACTTGAAGTAGAAAGAATCTGTTTTCACTATATACTCTCACTGGTTTCCCAGAGTCTGGTTCTGAAATCTTCAAGAAATTGAAAAGGATAATTAAACTGCTATGCACAATGAAGAGCATGCAGTACATGAAGATAATATTATCACCAAAACTTTAATATTTAGGTACCTAAAACCTAAGTTTGGATTCCAGATACTTTTTTTTTTTTTTTTTTTAAATCACCATCAGCACATTTAGCAGAACAACCGTAGTTTTAAATGAAATTGGAAGACAGATGCTTCCTTAGGTTGCAAAAATGTCTATTCTAGCAAGCTACTTCTCAAATTAGAAATTAGTTTTATCATTATTGTGGCTTAATTACCCAGAAAACTGATTCTGCAGCCAGTCAGTTAGCAGTAAAATACTGTGAAAATAAGTGTGAGAAATGGAAATACCAGAGATTGCTCTATTTGCCTTCCCATACATTTTCAATCATAGCAAATATTCCATTTTGCAGCAGAAAGACAAATCCCAGCCCCCTTGTTCACCCTCTTATGCCTACACAGGGTTGGAATAATGGAACATGCTTTAAGGAAAAAATAGCAAATTTAAGAATTGTTTTCCTAAATTAATTTATTCAGTTCTGAAACGGGCATGTATGTTTCATTCAACAAAGGTTTTAGGAGCCAGAAGCAAAGCTAACTACAACTGTGAGCGTATATCCAAGATAGCATACTACAGACATTTTCACCTATTTGTTTTTATACTATTGTCTTTTTTTTTGTAAACTTTACAGTTCAAGTAGCTGTTCCACTTCAATACAAGTACAGAAATACCATCTAGTTACAGAAAGCAGTGTATTCTCACTGTATTGTATTTTCTTGACAGTAGGAGGGGGGAAGCTAAGAAGAAACAAGTCACCAAACCAAATACAAACCCCTCTTAAAGCACAGTGAAAAAAAATAGTACTGCCTCGAAGAAAATATTTTTCTAAATATAAAGAACAGATACATTGTTACCTTTAAATCTTTTCTGTTCATCATTTGCCATTTTTACAGCTAATGCCAGTCCAATTCCTGAGGAGCAACCTGTAATGAGGACATTTCTTCTCGCCATTCTTTTCCCTGGGTGGTTCAAGCAAGAAGTTCTTGTTGAGAGGAGCAACAACTGAAATGTAGCTAGAGTATAATGTCACTGGCCTTTAATATTATCTCCAGCTTTCCTGAGTCAACAAATCTGAAAATGCATACCTGGACCCTGCATGATTAAGGGATAATCTCCAACTAGACAAAAACAGAAGCACATGCTCCTGCATGAGTTTATAATCTGCATAATCAACATGGACTATATTTAAAACAAATTTTGATTAATCTTTAAAATGAGACATTTGTAAACTACATTTTTTGCTACAATTACAATCAGTCTGTAGCATCAAGTCCTCCACTCACATCTATGGAAAGTCAACTGCACCCAAAATGGGATCCCCCTACTAAATCCTTCAGACTTCCTACACTTGCAGGACCCTCCTCATTCTTTTGCAACAAATGAAAAACAGATTTCTTCCCTGATGTCTTTTTGTGAGACTTAATAAGCTTTACAGAAAAAAGTAAATTGAAAAATGGGATGTGGATTTGGAAAGAAACAAGTTGTTTAGACAAGATTCCTCACATTTATTTTTGGCACTGTTCCCAAACAAGAATAGAGAAAGCAAGTACACTGGCAGTGGAATACAGCCAGGAAGACATTGAACAGATCAGCTTCACTATATCCCTGCTAACATTGAAATCTCTTTGAACACTTTCTATTCTAAAATTGACAATTTTGAGGAAAAAAAAGTATCAGAACTAGCAGGACGTGTGACTCAGTTTTAGTTTTGGAGAAAATACTCTACCAACTCTGCATATGAACTCCAAATTTAAAAGAGGGACATTTAGACCAGCAATTTGATGCAATTCATGTTTAACATACAGTAACTGTAGGCATACTACATATAGAAAGGAAATCAGTCTCCTGTGAAATTTATAACCCATCCTGAGTGACAGAAAAAGAATCACCTTAATAAGCAATTAACCTTCTTACCAGCATTCAGCTAATTGCAATGTCGTTATACACAGAAAAATGTTTTCCAAGATTCAATAAGCCCATGTTAATGCAATGCAGGTCAGAAGAATGGACTCACTGTTTCAGGATTTGCATAGATATAAATTGGTTAGTAACTCAAGACAAGTATGACTCTACAAAAACATTTAACTGAGATTGTTAGGGAAAAAATACGTCCCTCCTTTCCAAAACAAATAAATTCACTTGAACAGTATAGCAAGTGGAATCATTAACTTCTGTGGCAAGCAACAAAATAGCAAGACAGCATCTAAAGTTAGAGAAAACATAATTATGATTCTACCTATTTAGCAAGTTTGACCCACAGTTTTACTAGAGAACTTAGTATCCAGATACACAGTTTTAGTGCAAATGCTATTTAGCTGATTCAGAAACTAGGCAAATTGCTTTTGCTGCTCATGCACATTTATATTTAGTGCATGTAGGAGGAGCAAGCGAGGCTTTATGCAACACTACATCAGTGGAATTCCACTAGTGTTGTGATGCAACTGTAATTACAGATTGGTTAGATTTTCCACTTGAAATCCTTGTTTGAAGGACCTTGGCTTTAAAAGATTCTGTCTGAAATCTGATGCACAGATTTCTATCCTGAAGGCAAACTGATCTGCCTAAGGAGAGGAAAAAAAAAATTAAAGTAGTTTAATATTTTTCAATTATTACACTGGTCAATCTAAATACAATGTTTTTCATTTACTGTTATGTAGAAAACAAATAGCTTGATTTAACACACACAATACATTTATTTCCATAAGTAAACGGTATTTTTTTGCCACATCATTATTTTGATAATAACAAAATAAAGAATCTGAACGTGCAGAAGTACTTTAGATGACTGTATCTTGACCTTGACAATAGTAGAAAAATGTATGCCTGGTTTTGTATAACCACTTAAAGTACAACGGTTGCATTTCTATAACATGTTTGCATAAACAGTGAAAGACCTACAACCCAAGTTGTTTAGCACTTCCACCTGCAGAGTGGCTGAAACACAGCAAACACATTTCCTGGCCAAGATACACTTTTAATACACAAAACAATTAACTTAGACCTACCCTTTAAATCGCAATACATTCAATTCTGTTTCTCTACTTTATATCAAATCATTTTACTTAATTTTCTGAAGCACTAATCACACGTCTTAATGCACATAAATCATTTTTGCATTCATCAGACTAAGATTTAGGCCTCATAACCATATTGGCAGCTTCCGACACTTATGTAAATACAGAAGTGTTAGAAACTGATGCCACTAGTCATTTGTACTAGCTAAATTGCTTAATATTTTTGAAAATTGCAAATAAGTATGTTTTAGAAGGCATAATTATGATGCCATTTTAATCAATGGTAATTTTTGTGTGCATTTTGGTTTGGAGGAAAAAACAATTAAGCTTTATGGCCCTGTCCCACACCCCTTTGCATCTGAAAGACACTGCTTCAAATAAAGCAAGCAGGTTTTCCCAGTGTCTATGATCAAATCAGTGTCCAAAAACATCTTATAAACAGGTCGATTTTAGTAAGACATTGTGTCTGCAACACTGTACATGTAGCAAAAAAAAAGGAAATAAAGTATTCCCAAACAAAAATTGTTAAGTTAGATGTGAAACACAAGTAAACTGTTTCAAATCCTTGGAAAAAAAATAACAGCAGTAATTCCTGTAACTCAAGATACTTAAAAAATGGGATTTATTTCTCAAAAATATATCAAGATGTTTTTATATCAAGGCAATAATCTCAAAAACAGTTGGAAAAATAAAAAGGTTGTAATTTGTGTCAGTACAAATAACCACATTCCTTATTTACAAATACAAGGGTAAAATTTTGTCTTTGCATGCACGAATATGATGCCAGCAACAGCATTCCTGGGTTGCTGCTTGTCCAATGGTCAACATGCCACTCTTCACAGCTCCTGCCCCTGAAACAAAGTATCTGTGATGAGATACCATATTTACCACATTTACCATGACATACCAATTTACCATATCAAGTTGTTACTTTTTGTTATAAAGTCTTATCTTAAAAATTCAAGAAAACTAACTGCAGGCCTCAAGGCCATGTTATCTTTCTCAAATTTTGCCCCCGAGACTGAAGTTATTAATGCATTTTTGTTCACTGTTCTTGTAATTGAAGTGCATTTGCTTTTAAAATGAGCATAATTTACAATTTTTTCAACATATGTTAAGTTCTAGCAGTTAGGTAAGAGAATATTATGCAGAATATGTTGAGAAGAAATCTTCACATATAAATCCATGTAAGAATTGTGTACAGTTTAAAGGAGCACTGCCTTTTGAAATAACTCCTCTGTGTAAGGCTTAAGGTTTCACATTGAACCACATTATTGTATTTAAGATCCTAACAACTTAAGTTTCTAACAATTAAGCTAGTGTTTGTAAAAACCCTAACAACAGTATCAAGGTATCAAGTATCAAGAGGAAAAAAGCCTATGTTTCCTACCAATACAAAGTGAGGAAAATCTTACCAACATTAATGTAAAGTATTCTGAATTTTCTATAGTATACAGAAATAAATGCAGCTGAACACAGTATATGTTTGGGGTTGTTTGGGGATTTTTTTGACAATTTCTAGAGTTTTAGCTTTAAAATACAGGCTTATGGGTTGGACCTAATAATTTGACTGTTCATTTATAGAAAAAAAACAAACAGGAGTATCAGGTGATCAACAAAATGGTCTCTCTAGTATATGATACACAGCAGCTATGTTTATGTTACCCAGTACTGTGGCACAACAGAGGCCATAGAGCCACTAATATTTCATAACATCACATTATATTATGGCTCCTGTTACTTATAAACATAAAAGAGATTATGCTGTATCTAATCATGTTTAGCTAGATGCTTATTCTTTATGAAGAATGCTATAAATAGAGTACACAGACATCTAAGTAGCACATAACAAGCTTACAGCTACTGAAAGATTATTACAGTAACTTCTAATTATTATACTATGTATACTTTTACAAAAACATTGTAAAAATGAAACTTTTTTTTTTAAATAAATCAATCTTCGTAAGCATTAAATTTTTTATTCACTTCCCTAATTTAAAACAATTTTATTTCTCATTTTAGTAAGGAACTGTGGCCACAAAAGATTAATCTGCTGTAAATCAAATCTGCCTTTTTTTTTTTTAAAAAGTAATTAATTTCACAGAAAAATTAAAAAGCTATTCTGACTGTTCAGTAAGATATTTCCAGTTTCTTTATTTGGAATACTTACAAATTCTAAGAGTAGCAGAGTGTTGTATTGTTACAAGATATTCACTGCAGATTAAAACAGAGTAAGAACAAAGAACGATTCAACTGAAAAATCTGTGACCTGGTTATTTCATGAGTCTCAAAAGGGCAGAGTGGACCAGGACAGAAATCAATCCTATCTAACAATTCCTTCCCTGAACTAATATATTTCCTGTAATAAGCAAGCAGGGAAGGTAGTGTATTAAGGGGAAAAACAATGAGACAGACTATACCCCTGGGCAAAACACACACACCCGCCCTGAACTCCTTTTCCCCAGATTGATAAGGTTTCTGTGTTTCTAGAACTAGGACAGAAAGTTGCTGTGGGAGATTGGTCTGTCAGTCTGCAATGTTTTATTAATGAAGAAATTATTTTCTTACGTCATGTTAATATACACATTTTTTAAATGACTGGAGTAGGTCTATATTCAAAGCCTTTCTTATATCATTCTTGGGCCTTCCCCTACCTGGTATTCCTTAGCAGAAGTAATAACAAGGCAATTTTTCTGAAAAGGAAGGGTCCAGTTGGCATTTGCACAGGGGCTAGCTAATAAATCCTTTCCTTCAGAATCATTCCCAAAGTCCTAGGACAAGTCGGAAATGTATTAATGATGTGTGAAGGGTAGCAGCAGGCACCGTCTTCTCAACTGTCATAAATAACCTTTAACAGAAATCAAGATAGAAGAGCTGCCATCGCATTAATTTGCAGTCAAAGAACCTTCATGTTCAGCTGCGACACAGCGATGGCCCCATGAACTAGAATACCAATCAAATCCTTTTGGTGAGTACACAGAAAGCAGACTTCTTCAATATCTTAACCAAGGGAAAGAAATAACACACAAATGCAGCATAACCAAAATGGCAGAAACCATTTCAGTTTTGGTGTTTACCTCTAGCTGGCAAGCATCTTTGAATTAATTTATTTCTGCAGAAAGACTGTTTATCTCAGATTGTATTTGTTCTTGTAGTGACTGATTCGTGCCCCAAACCAAAGATTGGTATAATTCAAAGTAAAATTAGTCATTTTCTCTATTCTATCTGTATGCTCTTATTTACTTTGCCAAAAAAATTCTCTCTTCTCATTCCTACAAGCGTGCTAGATCTCAGTGCTCTTTTGATGGAATTATTTTCAGGAGATAGATACCTAAGTCATAAGAAGCTCTCATCATACAAAATATTGTTTCATTTCATTTCAAGGAAGATCATGTCCATAGCCAGAACATCAGATTACTAATCAATATTCAAATTTCTCCACAATGCAGACAATTCTGAGTGCCATTAAATTTGTAAATCATTAAACTGGATTAATTTTAGGGGATTAAGACTCAGAAACACCAGGATATAAAATACCATTACCTGGAGAGAAGTAATGACACTTATTCTAGAGACACCATATTGTTCCTTCTAGGCAGTTACAGTAATGGCATTAAAAACTGAAGATTTGTTGTATATCCAAGGTACACTTTACCTTTTCAAGAGCTCTAGGCTGCGTTATTTTCTTTCAATTTTTTTCTTCAACTGATTTATTTCTTGATCTCTCTGGAGTAATTCAAACTCTTTTTCACGAAGCTCATCTTTAGAATGCTGGAGTTTCTTCTCTAAACTCTCAATCTGAACAGAAAATGCAATTGTATCAGAACTGATATTTTGCTGATATCACTGCAATTTTTAAAAAAACCAAAACATCTCACAAATACCATCAGTATTACCTCTGACTTCAGATTCCCTTATATTTTTTTTATTTGTATTTTGTCAACATTTTCCTTCATTAAAAGTACAGTTTGGGAACTATATCATATCAAGTAACAAAAAAATACATTTCCATTTTTAAACTAGCATATCCCTGCAAAATTTTTAGTTTTAATTGACAAACACAATATTTTTGCTGGCACATTATTCCAGTACTCCCTTCCCCCTCCCTACAATAAGCTACCAATTTTACTCTTCTAGATTAAACCTGGCCAGCTATTGCATGCTAGGATCAGACTCTCTCAAACCATTAGCTGCCCTTTGTTAGGAAAACTAGGTTTTTAGTTTAAACAAGAATTACCTGTTTATTGTATTCGTTAATTTCTAACTCTGACTTCTCTAAATTGCACTCCAATCGAATTATTTGTTGTTCCATTTCTCCCCTGTGTTCACGAACTGTCATATCCAACTGTGTAATCTACAGGTAAAAAAGGAAGAAAAGGAGATTTTTTTATTTTGAACTAGTATGCCAATTTTAAGTAGCAGTATTACAAAATATGACAGCAAAATGGATGCAACTAATCCTTTGGAGCCTCATGAACAGTCCCTCAATTAGTCAATATGAAAATGCACCCTAGCTATCTCATTTAAAAAATAGGGGCCAAACAGAGAGAAGGGGAAAGTTGGGAAAAAGTCCCTAACTGAATATGTTTGGTCCTCAGATACACAGAATACAAACTTAGTTCTCATTTTAAACGGAATGTAATGAGTAGCTTATTATACTAATCCATCTTGTTAGGAAGTGTCAAATTTTGCCAAAGCAAAAAACTATCTTATTGCTTTGATGAATTTCCAGAGCAGCTGGCAGGGTACTGTAGCACGAATATAGTGGAAGGTCTGGCCTCCTTACAGTATCAGTTCCTTGAACAGATGATTTTTTTCCCCTGATCTTCACCCCTCCTTCTCTCTGAACCTCAAATACTCTTGGATACAAAGGCTGGTAACTCCTGTAGGAAGTAGCTATTAGAAGGCTAATTATTAATGACAGAAGAATAGTTTTTCCATTATGGGTATCAAATCCTGAAGCCAGACCGAAACACTGAAAATATTTATCATATTTAAAATGAGCTACAGAAATTTATTTGCAATGAAGATACTGTTTCAATGTTCAGAGGCTACTTTAGAGCTAATAAAATATGCTCCAGTGCAAACAAGGAAGGAACCTATCATCTTCAAGCATACTTCAGCGCAGGTATTTCCTTTGTTTTATCAAACGTCAGGCTGACAACAGTTGTCCTATAACTTTATCACTAAGGAATAATTATGGCACAGGTTTGCACAAGGCTTCTGTTCTATCAAAACAGTAATCTGCGGTCTCTTCAGGGAGCACAAGCTGATTTTCCTGGTACCATAAGGCTTCAGTAGCCTACAGCTGGTTTTGAGGTTGACACTGTGGCTATATTAACAGTACAGTTTGGAACAATATCTAAAGGCAATTAAAACCAGCAGGCTTTTTATAACTTATCTACTACACAACAGGGATAATTGTCAGTAACATAATTAAAATCGTCTGACCTGAGCTGCTCTTTGTTTCAGTTCCCAATTCCTTTCTTTCAGTGCTTGGTTCATGTCAAGGAGTTCTTGGTTTTTGTCTTCAATTTCACCCTTGCAGTACCTGGAATTCTCATACGTTTAATTGCTTAATGCACATTCAGTTGCTTAGCTTCAAGTAGTCAGCTTGCAAATCATGAGATCTATTACTTAAAACCAAATTACTCTAAAAGATGAATCAATTAAGTGACTGCAAAGGAACAAATCCAAATGGAATAATTCTGTTAACTATATTCCAGGTGGAGATTTCCCAGTAACTCCATTATTTGAGTTAAATTGGTTATCAGGACAACGTGTTCTTAGAAAGAGTAGTGCAGAAGAAAGTATCATTAATTTATGGTCAGAAAGGATACTGAACAATTTTACCGTAACAGAAATTAATTCCTCTTGAAGTTACTTCATGGCTTTGGGCTTCAGAAAACAATTTTAGCAGATTTTAAAACACGATTCCCTAATCAAAAATGCAGCAGCATTTTCAGAAAGTAAAAGTGAGCTGAGGACCTACTGTATCAAGTCATCTTACAGCCACAAGCCACCTAAAAATTACAGAGTGCTGTTAAGAATATAAAAAACCACCATCCAAACTACTTGCTATTACTAAGGAAAAACTAGCACAAGTAAGTTTTTGTGATGGAAAAGATATCAGCTTACCTGAGCTCAGTTGTTAGATCCATGATAACAACGTGCTTCTCCTCCAGAGAAGACTGTGCATTCTCTAATGCATCTTGCAATTCTTGAAGCTGTGTTAAAGTGAGTTTTAATTCTCCATGGGCATTCTGTAATGAAGATTCTAATTCTACTATTTTCTGTAAGGCTTCCCTGTGGTAGGTCTCACTCTGAAGCAGCTTATCTTCTAAATCATACACTATTTACATACACAACACAAAACACAAAATATTTAATCATCACTAAGTCAGGATCTTAATGCAACACCACTGCCTTCTAGCACATGTTCTCATAATCCATTTTCAGCACCACTATTTTTAGGAAAATCTAGAAAAACAGTGACTAATTGACTTGGAATATGCAGATATATCTAAAAACATTTGGCCAAGGAAAAAGTACAGGGACAACATAGTATCTGAATAAATAGTGCTATGAAAAATGCAAGCAGAATTGTTAGTAAGCCTCCCATTTAAAAGAATGGTAAAATAAAATTAAATGGACGAGTTGAAAAGTTTATTTCTATCAACTCTCTTGTGGGGTTTTCTGTTCGTTTTAGAGAACTGAATTTGTGTGAACAGCATATGCCTTTATTAAATCTGTTATGTCTTGTTTGATTACCACGTTAAGAATCTGCATTAACGATTTACAGGGAAAGCTACTTATTCATTTCACCTGGGCTAAAGGTACATCCCACAGAAGTGAGAATTTGCAAAGGGACATTAAAAAAAATTATATGCATTTTTAGGTGTTATGGAGGAATGTTTGGTTAGGGTGGTTGTGTTTTTTTAGCTTTTGGGGTTTTTTTTAGAACTATGAATTAACCAACACATTAAAAAAAAAATCATATTTTGACTCTCAAGTACTTGATTATGAAACAGGGGGAAAAGGAAAAATGTGTAGTCTAATACATATAGAGAAGCAGCATGACAAAAGGAAGCAAAATAGCTTCAAGAAACAAAATAGCAAAATTACCCTTATTTGACTTTTCAATGAGCTCTGATCGTACTTCTTCCAAAGTAATATCCAACCGACTTATCCGCATTGCTTTGCTTTCATCATCTTGTTTTAATTGCACTACTTCTTTTTCCATACCAGTAAGTTCATTCTTGTATTGATCCATCTCCAATTTCATTTGGCTAAATAGAAGAAGCAACCAGAACAAAATTAACCTTGTACTAACAAAAGCAACATATGTATGTCCTTACATGCCCTAAGACAACAGGTATTTGTGAATAAATTAGGAATAAAAAAAGTCACATTAAGCAGGTTTTTTTCTCAGTCATAACCATATTCTTTATAACTACCAAGCTCTCCTAAAATCTACTATCTGGAATCACAAGCAACTTTATGTATTTATGAATTGAACTGGATTATGAAACACCATCTCAAGGCTAAATAGGTTGCTGGGACAGACATTAATTCCATTGGAAGACTGTTCCACAAACCCCTGCTTCTGCTAGACAGAAGCTTCCCTTCGGATTTCCAGCCTGTGCTCGTACAGAGACTGAACGGTATGACTATGTGGCTGAACACTGTTTCAGGCAGCAATCTTTCTTATTGATATGTCTATCTGCAGAATATACCTCAGTTATTCTAAACCTACCTGATTGTACTATTAAGTTCATCCACCTTCTGTCTGTTTAAATCTGCTTCCTGAGCAGTGAGGCAAAGTTTCTCCTCTACTTTTCTCAATTCATCTTCTGCATATGCTTTCCGCTTCTGAAGCTCTTGTTCCAAATTTGATACCTATTTATAATGGTATTTAAAAACTGTTGCTATTTTTAAGTTACATACCGAAGAAACACACATCCTTGTCTTGCAACTCACATACAGAGTTTTAACAAAACAGATTTCTTTAGTCTAAAATTGTATCCAATTTAAGACTAGAACTTTGCAGTTACATTTGAAAGACAAATAGTTTCTAGTAAATATAAAAAGATTCAACTGATTGAATTTCAATACACCTCTCCTTAACTGCAGTGTAGAGTTTGATTTTTCAAGTACTTTGCCACTCTAGATGCTAGCTAGAGTTTCTGATAGCACCAAACCTGATTTAAGACAAAACAACACTTTTTTAGATATATCTAAAATATAGTGTTTTATTTAGATATATCTAAAATAACAACTATCATCTGCAATAACAAGTATCAACGCAGTTATCAACAAAGCATTCAGATGTTAAAGGTATTACAAAAGCATATATAAAAGCATTCAATTATCTGTTTTTATGTAGACAATTCTCACCACGCTGTACCTGTTTCTCAAGTTGATTTTGATTATCTTCCAGCTCCCCATTTCTAATAGTTTCTTGCTGTAACATTTGCTGATGATGATGCAAAGTTTGTTGTAGGAGAATATTTTGTTCACTTGTGTCCTGAATATTCTGATCTTTTACTTTTATTTCTTTCTGTAAGTAACGAACCTGAAAACATATTTATTTTCCATTACAATAGAACATTTTTATTTGCACTTGTATCAGCTATTCTCTTAATGAGTACAGAATCACACCTATGATTCAGTAAAACTTCTGGCTGTGAACTTCGTTGCATTGCAGTTTTGACACAACATAACACACCTCATAATTCATCAACAAGTTGTGCTTTATAAAGTAAAGAAATAAGTAACTTATCAGCCCCAATTTTTGACTTATTGCTTTCAAAATATACCTCAACTGGCCAATATTATAAAATATATAACAAAGATTTTACTTTAGAAATTACTGAACCACTTCTCTTTCTGTCACTCTATTTCTCAGAAAATCCCTGTTTTCCCCTTCTGATTTTGTTCAGTCCTCCCCTTTATTTCTTCCTCCCTCTATGGCAGTAGTCATTACAATAAAAACCAGGAGTTCTGAGTGCCTAACTTGTCACACGTTGAATGGTCTGATTTCTCAGAGATGACTGCCAAGAATCTTCTGGGGGAAAAAAAAAGAAACGTTTTTTAAAAAAAAAAAAAAAAAAAAATCACTAACTGCACACTCCAAAGTGGAAGTAGTGACTCTGCCACTTATGAAAACACTGGTCACAGTTGGAAAGACCCACTTGCTACCGTTGAGTTTCACACAGCATCCAGTCTCTTATGCAGTATAAGAAAAACAGATTTTAGGGCTTTGAAAGCAACAATAAGTATCACAGGTTTATGTGTAACACAGACTATAGATTTCCATCCAGTTACTCCTGTACAGGATGTAGTCATCTCCAGCTGACTAAAGCCTGTCTCTTGGCAGGTAGGGCAGCACTGCCATGAACAGCCTACTACAATAATTAATTCATGTGGCTAGGTATCCCCACAAATAAAAGCTAATACTAATAATATTTAAACTTAATTCTTTCTTGCTTTCATGTATTTGTGGAAAGTACGATAAAACTCAGGGGCCTGAAGTAACGATTTTCTGATGCCCAGGACTTCTTTCCCATTAAGATACTTGAAACAAAAATCAATTATGTGTACCTAAATTTATATTGCAATGGTGCTCTCTCCATTTTTTTCCAAGATAATGCTTTCACTTAATTCTGATTTTGTTACTTCTTTCAACATCTCATTTCTCTTGGTACTTCTTTTCCCTAAGCTTATCGAGTGTTTCTTAGTTATGATTTATCCCTTTACCCTCACATAATGTATAGTCTTGTCACAGATTACATCCGAGTCACAATTCCTGCTGCAAACGTTTTGTCTCTTATTTCAAACAAACTTTTAGATTAAATAATTCAAAACAAGCATTCTCTGCAATACAGAAGTTGTTAAAACAAGACATTACCTCTTCAGACCTTTTTTTAAGCTGATTTTCAAATATCTCCTTATTTTCTTGTGATTGACTCAAATATAGTGCAACTTCTTCCTTACATACATCTAGTGCTGACTCAAGTTGTCTCACCTAGTTGAATGTAACAGGTTACTTAAAATTGCATGACATGGTTTCAATTAGTCTAAAAAAATAGTGTTAAAAAGCATCTTTGTGCAAAGTGTCTGAAAACCTACATTTTTAATCTAAAGAGTATTAAAACAGGTGTGGAAGATTATGGTAAACTTTTAAACTGAAACAGTATTCAGAAATTAAAATTTTTTGTGAAATTAAATTACAATACTTTAGACTGTGTTTAAATCAGATGAGACTATCAGTTATGAGAATATATTCTACTATTTGTCAGTAGCTAGAATTTAAAAGCAAATGTATGCCCAATCCCAAACCATTAATCCACCATGTTTTATTACATACAGAACTGTGTAAGTAAATATGGAGTAATCATATATGAATTCTGACAAGTCTTTTTCAAAAATAACATTCAGATCCTAATACAATTCCTCTCAGAATGCTATTAAACAGCATTGGTTTTTTTTTCCTTTCTGCACTGAGAGAGTGCCTGAGCTCTACCAAAAGGTAAAGGAAAAGCTAGATTTTGGCAATGTCAACACTACTAATCTATTTTACTCTTTTACTATTAATTTCGATTTGAGTAATCTCTAGTAAATGTCTTATAACATCAAACAGATAAAAATTATAATGAACAAACCCCCAGAGGTCTTAAACCATAATAATTAAACTTTTCTTAACTGTTTGGTTTCAATGCTAAGAAGATTTTTCTCATCAATGAGCACTGTGCTGAATTTAGCTGCAGGGTGGCTAATCATTTCAATGCTACCAGTTTTCTAAACCATATTGGATTGTATACTCCTCTCCCTACCCAGATCAAAAGACTTGTGAAGAGAAATGGTAATGGTTTTTAATTTTAAATCCCTGGAAAACATCCCAAATACCACAAAGCCACTTAGAAAAGTGGTCCAACACAAGTTCATAAAGAGCATGCTACCATTTTAGTCCCCAGTGTATTCGCCTAGTGATATCCTAAAGATTTAATACAGTTTGAAACCTGACTGCAGTAAATCACCTCATAGCAATGGTTTATTAAAATACTGTTTCAAGTGCTGCAAGAAAAATATTTATCAGGCAAACAGTAGGAAGAGGTATAGATGGCTAAAAACATAACCAATATTCTATTTCAGACACCTATGATGTTATATGTCATATTCAGAGAAAAAAATACGTAACATTATCTCTGTTTAACAATGTTTTACTAAACAAGTAAAACAAGCACAGATCTGCCCTATTTATAACTACAGTAATTTTACAAAACAACTATGCATTGCATAATCTCTTAGTGCAGGTTTCACTATGCTTCTAATTTATTCTTTTTTAGATGAAAAACTTCAGGTTCATGACTTCTGAAATATTTATGGGAGATAAATTTCTATAAAGCAGCCTCAATATAGTTTTTCTAGAAGATAAAAGGAAATCCACCATTACTGCAAACTTTAAAACTATTAATTGAAAATTGCAAGGAGTTTACTAACTTTGAATGTTTCTTCTGTTAACTGACTTTTCAGCATCTTCAATCCTTGATCTTTCTTGACATTTTCATTTTCCATTTCCTGTTTGTACACATATTTTTTTTCATGAGAACAAAATGTAAATATAGTAACAGTAATTTAACTAATTACTCATACTAAGAATTGGCAGAAAAAAAAAAAAGATATCTGTATTTAAAATACAATTGCTTCTATACTGTATTTATGTACATCATACTCTGCAGTGAATTTAGTTCCTGATAGGTGTTCCTTCATATTCTGCAACAGCAGGAATTATTCGAAGGAAAAAAACTTTGCCATAATATAACATTAGTGGTTCTCCACCTAGTGCAGAATATATGCAGTTGTTATTTATCCAGATCTCTTTCCTTCAATTAGAGCAAGAAGCCCAAGGGGCAAACCAGAGGCATAAACAGAATGCTGAGACAGAAAATAAACATCATTAAATTTGTACAATATATGTAGCTGGGAACTACACTAGTTTCAGTCAATTACTTAAACAACAATTAAAAAGCAAAAATATAAGTATCTTTCATTTTCCCCCATTTTTCCATGTTTAAGGATATGCTTTTCATCATTATTAGTCACTCATTTGGTTTATATTTAAACAAAGTCAAGAGCAAACCTTACCTCTCTGCTTTCTATCAGCAGCCCATCCAATGATTCAATGTGGTGCTGTTTATGTATAACATCTTGTTGCAAAATAGATATGATTTTCTCTTGTTTGATTAATTGTTGCTGTTTCTTCTCCAGTTGTGTCTGAAGCTGTCCATAAGTAATCCATGGTTTATTATTTTAACAAGCTTTTCCAGAAAATTTGTGCATCAAAATATTTCCTTCAGTTCTATTCACCCATCACTTTAAGAATTAAAAGTAAATACATTCCTGCCATCAGCAGTATTGCAGTCTTAAAAATAGCAGAGCATAATTGTCTGTCATCAGCCAAGACAGCTAGACATGCATACGTCCTTTAGTAAAAGATGACAAGCTTCTTGAACAGCTAGAAATAGCCACGACTATTTCTAACCACACAATGCAACAGAATTCTTCTCTAAATACTGAAAAACCTACCCACAGTTCTCCCTCTGAACACAGATGCTCATAAGGCTCAGGCTGGCAGAGGTTCAGCAAACTAAAGAATATTGTTAGAAGCTGTCATGGTTTAATCCCAGCAGGCAAAAAAGGTGGGTTTGGTTCTTGTTTTGGTTTGGTTTTTGTGCTAGGTGTTTGGAGCAAAGAACAACAGTATTCTTTCTAAATTCCTATTTCTCTTCAGTTGAGCAGAAAAGAGCATATACGTATCTCAGAGAGCAATCGTGAAATTGTGTAGTGTTATATGGAAAATGAACTAAAACCAGGAAATGCAGGGAGAAAATACAACTTTTTAATATAACTTTTAAATTGGGTATCTGCCTCAGAAGTACTAAAAAGATAAAGAAATTTAACGTAGGAAAAAAGTTACTGAGTATATCACTCACACATACTAGCACAAGGAAGGGCTTACTAGTTCAATCTGTTTCTCCATCTCTTTGTGCTGCTCAAGGTGAACCAACTTTGATTTTTCAAACGCAGAAATTATCTGCTTATGTTCTTCACTGTTAGTTGTTTCCAACTCATGAATGCGTCTGTTTTTCCCCTGGGAAAAGCAGCAACAAAAAGGACTTAGTAAAAATATTTAGCTGTGACATTAAATCATGTTTGGTTTGATGATCAAGTTCTAGATTTCATAAAAGAACACAGAAAATGCTGAAGTTATGCACAACATTTTTCATCTCAAAGGATGTCACTCCTCCAGCATAGGTATAGAATGCCACTAAATACAGCCACTACACAGAGACAAAGTGTCTGCCAAGGTGAGCTACTGGCACAGATTACAGCAACTGGCGCAAAGAACTTTTGACAAAGACAAAAAAAATCCTATGTTCACATGGATAGATGTAGTCCTTAAAATACAGGTTTCCATTTGAAAGGGACCACATAAGTAGTTTTATTTTCTAGCAACCTTAGACTTCTTCCCAAAACCAAGTTTGTATAACAATACCCAGACCAGAATCTACAGTGCTTCAAGTGTTAGATCATCATCTTCACTTATTACTCTTTAGAAGACTTTTTTTTCCACAGGTCTACAAGTATTTCACTGAACAAATGGCAATGCTACAATTGATTTCAATAGGACCAGCTTTTCACTGCACATATCACAAGGAAAAAGTAACATGCCCATTACTAACTTATCATGTTCAAAAACAGGAAAAAAAGGATGTTTTATTTTAAGTAAGATTCAGATTTTAGAAACTGCACTGTCTAAAGACTGCACAGATTGTTTAGCAGATCTGAAAGGCTATCCATTTTGAATATGTGGAATAATTCTGTTCTATATTAAACTTTAATCTCCATTTATGTCTTTTTACATATAATTTCTCACTAAGAACATTTTACCATGAGTTCCTGTTCCAACTCAGTGTTTCTTGCTGCAGCAGCAGAATAAGCAATAGTCTTTTCTTCCAACTGTTTCTCAAGTGCAGAAAGTTGAGAAGATTTCTTTGTTATCTGAAATTAAATATGGCACAAAACAGCATGAAGACAACTGTTTTGGGTTTATTCAAGTATTTGAGTACACTTTCTTAACACCAATTCCATTTTAGCTACTACTATTTTCTAGAGTTTAAAATTAATTATTTGCTTATTTTTTTATGTTCTATTAAACTTTAGTACTTGTAGTGAAGAATTCAGGACAATTTACCTCAAATTTATCCAGATCATTATAATTATCTGTGCCATATGAGTGAATTAGGTATTACAGTTTTATAACATTTATGGCCATTATTAGGAAATACTGCAAATCCCATCATGCTGGAATTCTACAGGCACAGCACCAGAACATTAACATTTCAACTTATTCAACCAAAGAAAAGCTAGATGAAGCTTAATTTTTTTTTTTTATTTTTTTTTTTTTTTGTGACTCTATGGTGATGATGCTAATCTCTGGTATGGTAACTGTGCTAGCATTTAATGAGGAAAAAATACAACTCTTCCTTCAGCATCTATTGTTTATGATCACACGTTAATTCAACCATTCCAAAATAACAAGACTGATTATTTTCCACATAACAAATAAAAATAGTAGTAGTATCACCCACTAATTATATCAGCTTTAAAATGAGATTTCTTACAACAAACAAATTAAGACTGCTACCTTCAAGTTCTCCTGCTTGCTCAAAAGTTTATTTCGAATTTTTCCTAAATAAGCCAGATTTTAATATTATTATGGCAATTGCAGTTTTTCCATAAGTATTGTCCTAACTATCTTTGATCACTGAACTAAACAAAAAGTGACATTTTTTTAAGGCTGCCAAAAACTTACTTCTCTCTTTAAACCAGTAGTTTTTGAAACCTTCTTCAATAGGTCTTCCTGTATGATTTGGAACTGACTGGCTCTCTGAGCCATGCTGGTCTTCAAAGAAGAATTCTCATCATCTGCTTCTGTCAGTTTAGTGTGTAACTCTTCTATCTGTTTCTGGAATCTTTGCCTCTCCTTTTCAAATTGTTTGCTGATAAGTTCTAGCTGTTGACATTTTTCCCTCTCTCAAAGTAGAAAAAATAAATATAAGATTAATTTATAAAAGAACATACAAATCAGCACTCAAGCAAATAATCATACAAAGAGAGGAAATCATACAAAGAGAGGAGAAATGTAACTTAATGACAGCATATCGAACTAACACACATAGTATCCGGAAACAAGACTGTGTTTTGTTTGGTTTTTTTTTTTTTTTTTTTTTTTTTTTCCCCCCATAATCTAAGTGAAAGCTGTGACTGAAGAAAAAAAACCCAGCCCCTTCCCAAACAAACAAAAAAAGACACTGAAGACAGCATCATTATATAGGTGCCCTGAAGTACTTTCATGGAGCAGTCCTAATAGTAATCACAGGAGCGACTGCAGAAACTCTTCAATAGCAGGATACAGAGAAAAGATTCAAAGATATGGAGACCTTAGCATAACCTGCATAAAGAAAAAAATACATGGTTCTATTTCAACACAAGCTGTAACTTGCATATTGCTGAAAAATTAATATAACTAGCAAAGGGAAGAAGAATATTGCGCCTGGAGGACATAACAATTTCCAGAATTCCAAGGTGGTAAGATGCTCCCTGTTCAACCAAACCATACCTGTTAGCTCAGAGATACATCTTAAATTACTATAAAAACAATTTATAACCCACAAAAAAATTCCTATTCTGTGGATTAATCAGACAGAACTGCACAACTATTTTGGTAAGCTTACCTCCGTGACTTCTGATCAATTTGACAGGCTCTGTTTCCAGGCCATGTAACCTGCTATTTTCTTGTTCACTGTTATTAGAAAGATGCTCAGCTCCAATACAGATAGTTAAGTTTGCATGAGGTTTGTTAATTTCTGCTTCTTTCATTCCCAGTTTAATGCTATTACAAAGGAGGAGACAATTATTTAACATTCCTTCTACATGCTGGTTCTAATACCACCTTATTACCTGCCTATTCTTGCCATAATTCAGTAACTGGAAAGTTATACCTTAGGTCTGCAATCAAAGGTTTATTCAATTCACAACAAGATTCACGGAGAGCTTCTTTTGTTGAGGAACTGGATATCTGGTGTTTCAAGTGGTGCCATTTAAACTAAAAGTTAAGGGAAAATCAAGATCAATGCCAAATCGATTTTTTTATTGTTTGATAGCATGATTAATTCATGTGGTATAGCATATAAATTTTAAGAAAGGTATGACAGAAAGTTAAAAGTGCGAATAACTTGATTATTAAAATTATTTTAAGTGCTTGCAGAGCACTGCAGGTTTGTCTCACATTAGTAGACATTATAGTCATTAAGGCCCTCTGAAACCGAGACCATTCCTTTAGATATCTTCATACAAATACTAAAGCATGAACATTTTTGCTGTGAATAAATAAAAGGAGATACCATCAGTAATTCCACGTTTTGAACTTCTCACATCATGCTTCCTTTTAGATTTTGGTAACTGCATTTATGATCATTTCTTCCCCTCAAGTTACATAGGGGTTCTGAATATTTCATTGAATTACTAGAATAATCCCAAGTTTTTTCAGAAAATATAGAAGTATTTTCCAAAAAGGGCCCTAAAACAATTTATAAGGCTCTTCCAAACAAATATCTATGGTCACAACTGACCAAAACATTGTTTTTATACAAAAGGTATTTTACTCAGGATGATTTCTCAGGAACATCACAGGATTTCCATGAAATGTCAGTTAGACTTAAGACACATAATAGAATTTTTAAATGTATTAGATTTATCAGTTACTGTACCTCTTCAGATGTACTTGGAGACAACTGGGAAATAATGGTTTCTAGTATGTTAAGCTCTTCCCTTGAGTCTTCAATTTTTTGATGGCATAATTTCAAGCTGTTATGTTGCTGTACAGTAAGTGCTCTCAGCTCTGCATTTTCACTTATTAGAGCATTTTTCTCTTTAAGCATTATTTCTTTTTCACAAAGTTCACTCTCAAGCTCAATGATCTTCTGATCAGACTGAGTCAGCCTTGATAACATTTCAGTATTCTTTGCCTCTAGAGCCTTAATTTCTCCTTTTGTGCAATGATTCTCTTCCTTTAATTGCCTAAAAAAAGTATCTCCATTTAAAAGGAATAGCTCAACATAAGAGGAATTTCAGTATCCCAAGTACTGGAAGAAAACACCATAAATACACTGTTTTACTAGTTTCCTCCCTTTTAAAATCTGGGATTAGCTCTATACAAAGGACAGAAAAGTTTTCACTGTTTTACTAAGCTTTCACTGTTCCTACAGACCAATACACAAACTATTATCGGCAAACAAGGAAACAGAATAAACTACTTCTCATCCTTAAACAACTTAGTAAAGTTTTAAACACTATCTGGAGAGTCATTGGTGGGAAATAGATCAAGGTGGCCTTAACTGTGCTGAAGCCAAGGAAATTTAAGAACAGGAGAAAATAACTATATAACGATACCCAAAAATCACAATGGATGAAGATAATTTAAGACTGAGCTAGTCTAGCATTCTGTTACTAACAACAGAGGGAAGTGTCATATTTATTCTCTCCCCTCATATCTGACTGTACAGTGAGACAATTGCATTTTTAGCTCATCACAGATTATTTTAAGGTACCTGTTATTTAACAAACTAAATTAGCTCATCAAAGTCCTGAGGAGTACCAAACCCAGTACAAGGTAGCAGCGAAGGGGGGCAGTCTAGAGGAAAGACCCCCATCATCATCAGAGAGGTATTAAAGAGGCTCAAACGAGTTTAAGGGTGCTCACACACTGACCATCCTTGCCTAAATGGCCAAAGAACAATTGTTAGACAGGAATGTAAGCATGGACAGCACATGTGAATGGAACATCCAAAACTGACTGAGGTGTTTGTGCAAACCTAATAACACTAAAGACAACCAGCTGACGGTTGTCCTCCCTCACTGAAGCGGTAAGGGAATTACCAAAAGACTGCTGAAACAAAGGGGGGCTCAGCTTGAAAAGAAACATGCACAGAGCATGAAAATTTCTAACAGCAGGAAGAGACCTTGGAGTGGGAAGAAAGTAGCAGTCAAAACCTGGTTTGACACTTCCAGAAGTTGCAGCCAGCACCACAACCTCTGTTCAGGCTTGAGTGCAGCCTCGCTATCAGATGCCAAGAGTATCCTTCATCCTAGCTAGGGAGTGACAATACAGTGTGCCACAAGGAGGGACTCCTACCTGGTGGTGTAAGTGAACTCATAGTGAGCTTTCTCATTGGCATGTACATTAGCAGTCTGCAGGCAGCAGAACAGGCATGCATAAAACCCAAGTACCCACATCTCCCACAGAAGCAGTGTGTGACCAAGGGAACCAACGCTCCCAGAAGGCTTGGTGGAACGTTGCTTGTTACTGTGAATATGTGGCAGTGTGTGGGATTAGAGTTTTTAAGGATTAGTTACAGAAAAGATTTTTGAAATTTTTAAGTATATGCTAACATTTTTTATCTGTTTAGTATTATGCTTTGCCTGTTGTGTTGCTGATACTGATCCTATGCGTTCACTGACACTGGTCCTGATTTGGTTTGAACTAAGCGAACTGAACAGCACATTCATCATTACAGTTGAAATATGAACTTTCTTCTCAAATAACTACAGTGATTTTTAAAAGCCTTTGAGTTACCTTAATTGCTCTTCTAGGATGTCTAGATCCTTTCTGTAGCTGACACATTCTTGATTCAACTTCTTTTTTTCTTTTTCACAATTAATTAAGCATTTTCCCAAGACTACTACTTCAGCTTTCACCTTAAAAAGCAATTTTTTTTTTGTTATTGTACAGCAATAATCTTGATTTCCACAGCCAACAGTCTTTTTTAAAAAAAATACTATAAAGGCTATCTTGTTCCTTTTTTTCTTTCTGGTAAGCCTGTAAATAACTGTATTGCTTACTGTTACTAAGAAAAGGAGAGGAGCAAAGAAGTTTGGGGTATTTTTCTGTCATTTGGGAAAAAAAGTAATGTTCTTTGGGTTTAATATTTTAGGGTATATTTGTGGCTGGCAATCTCCTTCCACAAGGAAGGAAATCTAATCAAATAAAAATTCTCTGCAAGAGCTAGCTGCCTCAGGCATATATTTCCTCATCCCACAGGGCAAGAAGCATTAACTATTTTGACCACTGGAACTTTGGGACACAACTTCATTTTCATCTTAGCTCCTCTCTAGCTTATGTTTCATTGAACAGGTTACACAGATGAAGTCAAAGAGTTCTTTTAAAAGGATTGTATACTTTTAAAATGTAAAATTCCCAGATGACAAGCAACAGAAAAAACAGCAGCAGTATTAGGACACCTCAAAGATGCAGACTGTCCAGACTGTGCGGAAACAGTTTAAAGCTGGATAACGGAAGTTAACACCACAAGTAGTTACTTACCCTTTACCACCTCTCTTAGGACTTTGCCAGCAACAAGCAGAAACAACTGACCCACTGGTGAACCCTCTGCTGTTTGCTGCCTAGCTTACTGGAAAAAGCATCGCAAAACCTAGTAAAAAAAAAAGCTCTTACCTTTTCTAATTTTTCAGTTATTTTCTCTTTATACTTTTTGAAAGCTCTTGTCAGGTCCTCCACGTTCAACAAAGCTTCATCTCTTTGCTGTTCTGCTCTGCAAAAAGCATACCAATTTTAAAAAATCATAGATTTCAGTCATTATGTAATTATCTCCTCCAGTTACTAAAAACAACTACTAAATTAATTGTTCCAGGTAACTTCCTTTGTTCTTCCAACTTTCCAAGCCCTTGATGAAAAAAGTTTCACTTGAGGAATAAATTAATTTTTAAACATCATGTTTGCAGTTTAACATAAACAAAATCCCAAGACTAAAAATGTAAAAATCAACACTTTTGATTCCCCTTCAAAAAGAGTTTGATTCAAATCATCCTCCTGTCCCTATCAGTAAAAGCCAATTTCAGGGACTGGGATAGCATGCATGATAAGGAATCAGAAGATAGCAGCACTTTTTAAAATTCAAACTACTTAAGGGGAACTCAAAAAGATTTTGATACTGAAGGGAACCCTTGTGATGAAATTGGGATGAGACTGACAGGGATTGATCAAAGGATAAATTATCTGGAAGATACTGGAGAGATGGCATCAATAACAGTAAAGGAAGCTGAGACTGGGAGGATATCAGGTGAGCAACTGTTCACAGCAGCAAGCCAGACTGCTTACTATCTTGCTCTATTATTTTGCAGCCATGCCCCTCTCTTACCCTCCCCTATCATTACACTCACTAAGGAAGAATTTGGAACAGTAATCTCGGGACAACTCAGGTATGCAGTCTGTTCAGGACACCCAACACAGGCACAGAAGAATTACTGCTGCTCAATAACATTTGTTTCTCTTCCACGAAGGGAACTGTGGGAACATGGTAAGTGCCTCATCAAGGTATAGCCTACCCTCAGATCTCTGTTGCTCCATCTGAGGACCACTGCCCATTTGGAGATGGCAAAAATATTCAGAGAAGTGGATAAAGGGATTTCAAAATAACAAACAAAGTAGTGTTAGTCTAAAGCACTTCCATTTGCATGGCTGAAGAATAGTAAGTGGTTGTAATTACTGATTAACAGCAAATGGTAATAGTTGTTAATACTAACCATAATACCACATGTTGCCTTTAATACATGGCAGAAGCTCAGTTTTTCTAAAGCACAAAAACATTTACATTTGCAACTAGTAACTTAGTACAGCTAGTTCCAACCCCACATGCTGTGAATGGACAGTGAACATAAATCAACACACTTCTTCACCAGTAGTGCAAGCCCCACAGCATTCACATCTGTGTAGCTGTAGCAAGGTTAGAGGTAACTTCATGTGTAGACAGACAAGCCAAACAAGCATTTTGCACTCCAAAGGCTCAAGAAATGCTTTTCTAAGTCATTAGGTCAGTCAATTCTTCTCCCTAGTAATGCAGTTAAATGAATTGGACAGGTAGGAATCTTTTTACTTATTCTTCTAATGTCTTTAAAATTACATCTTGGAGGTGACAGGATTGTATATAGCAACTTCCAACAGTTGAAAGAAATTACCTAACCTGACCACTAGCCACACAACCACTAGGCTAGAAGAGTCAATAAGAAAAGGAAATGGGGTTTGGGATGGAAATACAGCACCCTTTTCAACAGTACCATATAGACAGGTAAGATTAAGGATAACATAAAAATGTTCTCTCGTTTAAGTTGTGCTTCTATCACTTTCCTCACACCAGCCCCAAAAATACAGCACTCAGTACTGTTAAGTACTGCGCACCGAGCATATGCTGGAGGTTCTTGCAAGATAAAGTCAAAAATAACTCAGGAAAAGTATGTTATGGACACATTTCAGCTCTCCACTAAAGTACATCTATTCTGAAGGGAAAAAGCAGGTGATAAAATACTTACTAGTATACAGTATCAGCCTGCAACTATCAGCAAATTTCAAGATTTAAGAAGTGCCCATTTAAATAATAAGTATCTTGACATAGAATTTCCCTATTTTTTAAAAAATATAACATCTTTAAATAAGAGAAATAATTTGATTCCACAAAATAAACATCTGCCAATGGAAAAAAACACTTATGCACTACTATTCTGTATTCAATTTATTAAAATTACTTAGCCACCTCTTTCCTTGCTTGCTTCTTTCAATTAACTCTGTTTTCAGATTTTTATAGTCCTTTTTATATCTTTGCAACATGTTTTCTCTTTCCATTTCTGTTTTCCGGCTTTGATCTAGTTTATCTTCTGTATCTCTAGGAAATAAACAAAGCATAATTAAAAAATAGGAACTTCTTTGTAAAGAAAGGAGATTCTTGTTGTTCTTTTCTGCACAATGTTTGAGAAGCGCTAGTCAAACATGCTGCAGCTCTCAAAATGAGCTTTGGAACACCCAGAGCCTCCAGACTCCCCAGACACATGTCTGCAGTGGTGTCTACATCTCATCAGTAGGCATCTCATCAGTAGGCATCACAAGTGCCAAGGGTCATGGTATCTGAACATAGAAATCACTTTTTCTGGCAATAGATATGACATGGGAAACAACATTAAAACCTAAACTGAATATAAGTATTTTTACCTCTTTTGTGAAGACAGACTATTGCGATATTAAATGATCATTATATAGCATAAGGCTGTAAGATAAACTGACAACCAGGCATGTTTTCCTGACAGCCTCTGGACACTGTTTACATTAGCTTTATTTGGCCGTTTGCCTTGATTAATATATTAATGAAGAAAATCCTTTATGCTACATGCTGCACAGTCATGTTTGAAAATACATATGCTTATTTACTACAGAAGATACGCAGTCATGTGGCATACAACCACTCTAGTCAGTTATAAGAGCACATTCACGTTTAGTGTACATTATAAACCAGTTTCTTTTACCAGCCTTTATTATTTTTTCTCCATTTCTGGAAGTACATTCAAAACTAAACACCTCCCTCCTATATATGGCTCCAAAATGGAAGTTTCAAGCCCCAGATGACATGACCCACACAATACCAGTAATAACGTCATCCCAAAAAAGAGAATAGACTAGCAAGCAGACCACAATAAAATGTTGATTTTAAAGTACACTGATTACCTCACAATTTTATCTTGAGCTGAAACTTCTGCCTCCAAGTTTACAATCTGTTCTTTCAACTTAGGAATACAGACTAAATGCGTACCTAAAGTAGATTCAAGGTAAGAAATCTGAAATAAAAACATGTTTGGGGTTTCATTAACACTTGCATATATACCTTTGGGTGACACACATAAGAACAATCTGCTTACTGAATGACATAGTGCTCTTAACCTTACTGCAGAAGATGTTTGTTCATCTACACAAAGTGACCTCTACCTTTCTGCTGATTCAACATCCTTTCAGTTCCCTAGCACCATTCCAGTGTGATATGCTGTCTAGCAGAGTGATTTCTTTATATGTTGATCCTGTCTCTTCCTCTTCCCCCAAACTTGATACTCCCCTATTTGTTCTTTCCATGCCAGATAGTCAAATATTTTGTTTATCTACTTATTTGTACTGTCTTTGAGATAACATTTCTCAAACAAGAAGCATTAAGCATAGCTATTTTATTACTGCTACATATAAACCAAAGATGACAATACAGTCATCCTGAAAAAATGTACATACAAGTGTATATTAAAGCAGGAATGATTTATTAGATACAAAATTTCCTTCTAACTCACTTTCATTTTTTCAAAATAGCAATATTAATCCAACCTGAAAGGGCAACATTTTTCTTCTCTTAGACAAATGACTACTGTGCCATTATTAGTCACGTGAAATTTAATGTGGCTCAGACACATGAATGTACAGTACTAAATACATGATTGAACTATTTCCTTACATAATGTATTCCTCATTCTGTAACTTAATGGCTTTAGACTAAACTTCTGAAAATGGATAGAACTCATAATTACAGTTGTTTTGCTCATGGAGAAATAGATTCCAGACCATTCTGTTCCCAGATTAATGCTGAATATTATGAAAAGATAGAATGATAGACTTTGTCTAAATTTAATGTTTAAACTTTAAAGACAAAAAAATAGCATATTGTGCTTGGAATTAGACTCAAAAGTCCCAGTCACTGGGGTGACTTTGGGTGTGGGCTTTGATTTTCTTTTTGATGAAAATACTAAGGATACATACTCTCGTTTTTGACTGCATCAATTCAAAGTTCATTGTTTCCACTCTGCTCTTGAGGTAGTAGTTCTGAGAAATCAAAGATGCATTTTGCTCATGAAGGGCATCCACCTTCTCCTGAAGACGTCCATTTTCTTCCGCAGTTTTATCAGAAGTTGTGGATACTGAGTAAGACTAGACATTTTAAAAAGTTTTATATATATATACATATACACACACACACTTATATATGCATAAGTAAGCAATATATACACAGTGGAAATTCTGCAGAACAAATGTATTTAAGTAATATTACATTTAAGAGTGCTCCACTGATGTAATTGCCCTATGCTAGAGTGTATCAACTCCAAGCCGTAAAAGGAAAAAATATACTCATAAACATAATGAAGAACAGAAAAACGACAACAATGAAAGTAATGAAGTGCAATATTTACTTGAGATTTTCTTTGAGAATCCTGGCAAGATGTTTTACCAGCATTCTTCTCACAGTTAGAAAAGCCTTGAGAGTTGCAATTAGGCTGAACAAGGTGTTCCAGGGTGAAGTCTATAGCCTCATCGAAGCAGCGGCCATAATGTTCACTTATATTAGTGCTAGGAGGGAGAGTAAAAAATTGATACACCATCTTTATTATAAGTTGCTCATAAAAAACAGCAAAAGAGAAGCACAAAAGGAGCTACTTGCAATAATCCATTACACTGAATAAAACAGATTTACACTAGAAAAGACAGGCTATTCTCATTCCCAAACCCACTCATACCTGGAAAGCTCTTCCTCTACAGTTTGTAGGTGCTTTTCTGTTCTCCTCAGCTGATTCTGTAATGACTGTAAATTTGCAAACAGGTCTTCAGCAGCAGCACTCTCAGGGCAAGTCCACATACTGTATTTCACCGGTACCACACATATGGCTAAAATAATATTTAATATTAAAATACTGGTAAATGCATGAAAATACTATTTGCCAAAATACTTTTAAAGTCACCAAAATAAGGCAAATAGAAAAAAAAAAATAAAAGAAATACTGAATTTTCAAATGTAAATGTATGTTTTGCACACTACAACTTCCCATGTTCCCTAGATAAAAATTACTCTGTACAAATAATTTCTTTTTTTTGAGAAGAATAATTATGTATGTATTCATGAAGTATGAGAAACTTCATTAACTGCCACTTATGAAAACTGGGAAAACCTGCTATACATTAGTTGCCTAAAACCTCTTACACGACATATCTCAGTTACTTCAGAAGTTCCATGCAACTAGCAGAATGTCTACAAAAGTAACAGTGTATATACAAGGAATACACTAAACTTGCCTCGCTATCCAGTGACCAGCGAAATTAAAAAAATCAGAGCAGCGAGGACCTGACAGCACAGAGGACAGAAGCTGTGGGGAGCAGGGCCGCGGGCAAGCCTCACCAGAGCAAGTAAGACTTAGCATATCGGGGCTGGAGACGTTTTGAAAGACAAAGGTCGCAGAAACCAACGCTCCCGGGCAAGGCGCCGCCGCCGCCCGCCCTTCCCCGGCAACACAGGGGTCCCTCCGCCGCCCGGCTTTGCAGGCCGGGGCTGGCCAGCAGCAGCCCGGCTGCGAACACTCCTCCGCCTTCGCGCCGCTCCGCCCGCCTGCAGCCGCGGCTACCCGGGGCGACGCGGCCAGGCCGCGGGGACCAGCGCCAGCGCGGCTGCGTAACGCCGGCCACGGCTCCCGCGGGGAGCCCGGCGTCAGAGGGGCCGCGTCCCAAGGCCCCGGCGCGCCAGCGCCCAGGCCGGCCGAGAGCCGGCGGTACCGGGCGCTCACCTGCCTCAGCGCCTTCGGGGCCACCCGCCCCGCGAGGACAGGAGAGACGAAAAGGGGACGCCCCTCAGCCCCGAGAAGATGCGCGCTGGTAACACTAACCCCAACACCCCGGAGCCCCCTCGGGGAATCCCACTCCGCGCGATCCGCGGCCCTCACCCCGCTTCAAACACCGCGGGCCGTGAGGCCCGGCCTTCGCGTAGCCTCTAGGGCGCATGCGCACCGCCCGCAGCCGCCGCCGCTCCAGCGGGGAGCGCCCGACCGGCAGAGCTAACCACGGGCCCGCCGCAGTGCACTGTGGGCGGGCGGAAAGCTGCGCTGCGCGGGCTGCGATTGGGGGAGCGGCGCGGGCGGATGGGAAAGGGGGCGGGGCTGACGGCGGTCACGCCCCCTCCCCGGCGGCCGGGCCGGGCCCGCCCCCTGGCTCGCCGCGCGCTGCCGGGATGGCGCCGCCGCCGTGGCGCCGGTTGGTGCTGCTGCCGCTCGGGTGCTTCGCGCTGCTCCTGTCACCGCCGCCCGCCGCCGCCGCCTTCAGCCCCTCCCTGGACAGCGACTTCACCTTCACGCTTCCCGCCGGCCGCAAGGAGTGCTTCTACCAGCCCATGCGCAAAGAGGCCTCGCTGGAGCTGGAGTACCAGGTCGGGCGGGGCGGCGGCGGGGTCGCTCCGCGAGGGGCCTCCCCGCGGGGTTAGCCTTGAGGGGATCCGGCTACCGTCGTTGGGCGCTTGGGCTGACGGTTCCCTTTTACCCGGGCGAGGCTCCGCCTGCCCCCGCTGCCCGGAGCTGCCTCCCCGCCGCCTCGCCCAGGGCCACGGCTGGAGCCGCCTCGCCGCCCTCCGCCACCGCGGCCCTGCGAGCGGGCAGGGCGGGGCGGGGCGGGGCAGCCAGCAGCATCCCGGTGCCGGTCCCGGTGCCGGTGGTGCGCGCCCTGCCCGCGGCCCGGCGCGGTGCTGGGCTCTGCCGGCCCTGCCCAGCGCCCGCACTGCCACACGCTGCAGCTACACGCTGTTAAAAGCTGTATCTTTGGACACCGTTTAATGTCTTTTTTTGAATTGTTCTAGTATATATATATATATTTTAGAAGATTTCAAGTTGCCATCTTTTAAACCGGCAAAAATGTAGAAAGTTAACGGCTGTGAGTTTCTAGAGCAGCTCTAAAGCGTAAACCAAATTGTTGCTGATGTATAAAACCCTTGTCTATCTTTGTGTTGATATGAAACACCTTTTATCTCAATTATGAACGTTTTTCAAACCCAGTCTTATTTAACTAAACTAACATTAAGGTCTTGATGTCCTTCTTGAGAAGAGTTGAGTTCCCCAGATATCTCTGGGAAAGATCTCTGCCTTTTTTTTTTCCTGAAAATGAAGACTTTTTTCGGTAGAACAGGCACAGTAAGGGAAGCTACAGTGAATATTTTCCCATCCTACGACTGTGCCTCAGAATTGGCTGGGATCTCCCTCTTTACTTCCGCCCCCCTTTTTTCCCAACTAAAAATACAAAGCTGAAATTCCTGATTATTTTATAATTATTTTTAGATGCAGAACAGAACAAGAATTAAAGATTGAGATGTTTAAGCTTTGTTCAGAGCCCTAAGCAAAACATTAGTTTATTTTGCACTGACAAAGTAGGATTTTATTTTACTCATAAACAAAAAAATTACTTTAGAGAGAACAAAGGTGTATAGCAATAAATTTATTTTTACTCAGGCATAAATTTCTCAGCACTACTGCTACCAGTAACAATTCATCTTTATACTTGAATGTGTAGAAAAGGAGCTCCATCTGTCATTGGAAATAGATTTATTTTGTACTGAATTATCCTGAATTGTTAGTAGTTAAAGCATAGGAATATTCAATGTAGGATGCTAGTCATTCTCCAAAGACATAATGCAATAAACAGCATGCTGATACAAAGTTTTGTTCCAGGTGTTTAGATTGTATCACAACCCTAAGATATATCACTACATAAGTTTTTTAATTTGATCAGCTGTTAGCGACTTATTTTTCTTGGCCTTTTTCTCCTTTTGGTAAGTGTCCAGTGTCACTAAGTCAGTGTAAACTTTGCCCTCAATTTCAGCAGGAGCAGACTGCTGTACTCAAATAGCTCACTGGCAAACAAGCAACAAAAAAATCCCCTAGCATGGACCTCACTAATGTCATAAAAAGTGATCCCCCTCTGCCCCCTTATACCTTCCCTACAGAGAATTTATACCATGCAACAGATGTGGTGATACAACTGTAACCATGTTATAAAGTTAAAGGAGCACAGCTTTGTAATACTGTATGCACTTCTTATGAGCTTAGGAAGCTAAATGCCTTCAATTCCTTCTACCTTTGGGAAATGAGAGTCCCCTGGGAGAATTCAGACCTTAAATCTGCATGAAAAGGTGAGAAGGTCTGTGGTACAGCTTTGATTTGCGTAAGAAATCTAGTCCTGCCTTCTACACCGTTATTTCACCCAGCGAAGAGGACAGACACTGAATAGGTTGTATTCTTGCACAAATATATATGTGTATTTACATAAAAATGACAGACCTTTGTTATAAAATTTCTACCACTAAACTAGCACTGGTACTTACCCATCAATGAAGTCTGGCATAGAAATGCTACATTCAGCCACCTGTTGGTTTTCTTACAGGTTGTCTAACCCTGCCTATTGACAAAATTGTTTGCATTCTTAAAAACAAGTAGGGAAAGGTTGAGTATAAGCCTAGCCTAGCATGATTAGATCATGTTTAGTTTAAAATTTGAAATGGCTAAAATAATCCTTGTGTTGCACTGGTTTTTAATCTGTTTCCTATTACGTTGGTGTGAAACCATAGGGACAGATTCAACTTCCAGATTCTTTGTGTGTTAGTTCCCTTATCTAAAAATGTTGCCATCAGCAATGCAAACAGGAATTCCTCTGGTTGGACTGTTTTGTTTGTTTGTTTACAGGTTCTAGATGGAGCAGGACTAGATGTTGATTTTCATCTACTGTCTCCAAAAGGTGAAACTCTAGTTTTTGATGAAAGAAAATCAGATGGAGTACACACGTAAGTTTTAAGTCTTCAAACTTGGAAGTGTTACATAAAGTACTGTTTTGGTTTCATTCAGTACATATAACTAAAATAAAGGTTGAGTACTTTTTGTTCCTTAGTATTACAAAAGACTTTTGAATAGGACAGTTTGAGAATACTAACTACCTGTTTATATATAAATACTGAATGCTTTTTACATGGATCTTAGCAGAAAGTGAAGGATATTTTTGTTTTAATGATAGCTGTTAATGGTCAGTGAAAAAAAATATTTATTGTGAATTTGAAAAAGGCCTTCACATCTACTATCAAAAGATCCTATCAGCTGTATAAATAACCTGAGAAGTCCCCTATTATTTCAGTCTATTTATCAAAATATGTAGTAATTATTGTAATTTTACTATAATAATTCCACTCATATTATGGCTTTTTTGTAATGACTAACAATGACTCAAAATTCCAATAACAGAAAATAAAAGCAAGCTGCTGTTTTCATCATTTGGAACCTTTAGAGTCAGTGGGATTGTTTTACTATGACTGTGCAATCTAATGTGTGTTTAGCGTTCTCATGTTTGTATAAAAAGCAACAAAGCATTTTAAGTGATTGTCAGTCTTAAAGAGGAAAGTTTGCTTACAGAAAAATCTCTTTTTGGGAACCAGCACAAAAACTGTAGTTAATTCAATGACATTTTGCTTATATTCACAGGGTAGAAACAGAAGATGGGGATTACATGTTCTGTTTCGACAACACATTCAGTACCATTTCGGAAAAGGTGATTTTCTTTGAACTGATCCTGGATAATATGGGAGAAGATGGACAAGATCAGGAAGACTGGAAGAAATATATTACAGGCACAGATCTCCTAGATATGAAATTGGAAGACATTCTGGTTAGTATTTGATTTTTAATTTTCTTCTGTGTACGAACATTTGTAAAAAACCTCAGTGTCATTTAGCCATTCTGCTTTGGTCTGGTGCATCCTCCTGGAAACTAATTCAGTTCCCTATATTGCTTTTGCTGATACATGAAACCTAACGCTATGGATCTCTGGCTTCCACACAGAAGCTCAAGAATATTTTCAGAACAGACCCTTAATCAGCCTAGCTCTCAAAGTCAGTCTTCCCCATACAGCTTCCTTTCTTCCTACTGCCAAAATGGGACATTTTTCACCTGCAGCAATTAAATGACTATTTATAGTATTAAAGTATTACTTAATACTAATGATGTAGCTGGAATCAGTGTATCAAGGTTTGAAAACAGTTTATCAAGGTTTGAAAACAAAGTATCATGTTAGCCTCTTCTTCCATCCTTGCAGAAATGCCTAAAGCAGTATAGGGATCAATATTTCTGTCTTCAATAATTTATATACCATTAGGTTTTTTCTCCCCCAAAAAATCATTTCCTCTTTTCAAACTAATAAACAGGATAGAAGTTAATCTGTACTACACTGCAGGTTCACCTTTGCAGATGTTCTATGAAGGGTAATGTTTCCTTGAGCTCTATGCTGACCCTTTTTGATGTAGGATGAAGACTACTGCTGAGTCAAACCTTTTATTTCCTTTCATGATCATTAAATCTTGAGATTACTCTAGAAGCAGAGGATTGTTTGGTGTTCCTGTACCACTGGTTCTTGGTGCTTGGTAGGATGCAGTAAGCCAGGGTTTGTTTGCTCACAGCCAGTAGGTGTCTTAAAAAAAAAAAAACACCACCAGAAAACCAAACCAACATCCACAAACACTGAACTGATATAGAGAATTAAACTGTATGTATTTCATTTAGTGCAATAAACAAAATCCATAATTTTAAACAAAAAAACAAACTTAATGTTTAAGATGTTTTATAGGTATACAATACACTTTTAAATAGTTAAAACCAAACATGGAAAAGCTGGCTAAATCTTTAAAACTGGCAGTCAAGACAATTAGAAAAAAAACAAAATTCATAGGAGAAAATGTGAAGAAAATCCCTCCCTCACTGATCACAAGCAATACTTGAATGGATTTGATAGCTACTTCTGTATATACTGGCACCTCTTCCAAAAGGAAAAGAAATGCAGAACTTGTCTTTGAGAGCCTTGCAGATCTTACAAAGTAGATGATTTTTGTAAAGGTAACATCAGTATTGGAGGCCATTGTTTACTTAGTCAAGTTGTTACTTTACTTGCAAGTTGTGTGAGGACTTCCATAAACACTTAAGTAGTTTAACTTTTAAAGATAAACAACATATTTGGTGGGGAAAATGGGGAATTGTCTTATTTTTAAAGCTCTTACAGTGTTCATGTTCTTTATTGTGTAACACATGAACTTTCGTATCATAAAATAGCTCTTTTGAAATATTTGTTAAATATGCAACAGAGAAAATGTCCATAGAGAAGATGTTACTTCTAGGTTTAACTTTTACTTTGTTTAATTTATAGCCTCCTGTTGCTGTACACATTACTTTTCTCACTAGAAGTTACTTCAGGGTTCCATAATTATATTAAGAACATAAATAAACACTTAAAGAAATCAGCTTTTAGGTTGTGACTTTCTATTAAGTTGTGGATACAATTTTAACAGATTACAGGACCAAGTGTGTACTTAGTAAATACAGAATAAGGAGTGGATCTGCAGCCGCTGTTATGGCCAGAATGTTCATGTAACAACATCTGGTTCCCTGAGACATACTGTGTATCCTCTGTAGGATCTCCAGTTGTCCTACTCATGATTTCATGTAAAAATTCTGCTTTAGTATCAAAGCTGAAGGAGCAGTTTATAGCCACTACAGTGAAAGCATAAGAAGATGGGAATCTAATGTTACTGTACTAAATTTTCTTTTGCTACAGTTATAGTCCTGATGATAGTTTGCATTAAAAAATGCCTTAACTTGATTATCCAGCAGAAAACCCCCTACATTTGTCTGCTACTACGTAACTTGTTTTGAGACTAGTTCTGTACAGATCACTGCTTTTTACTTGTCTGAATACCTGAAATAACAGATCCCAAAGATACACTGAATATTGAAAAACTGATTTTATGTTTGATTTCTTTCACCTCCCTAGCCTGTAAAAGGCAAAAAAAATAATTATAGGAAGTTAATGCTATGTTAATTAAGCCTTTTTAGGTGGTACACAATAAACATACTAGACAAATTAATGAAAACTCTGTAGTGAGGTATATATTTTAAAGTGAAATTAATTTTATACTTGGCAAGAAATTAAATTATAGGTAGTAATACAGTATTAATATTTTGTATGTGTTGCAAACATTCAGATGTTCTCTGTTCTTCTAAAAATACTCTTTTGTTACATACCAGGAATCCATCAACAGTGTCAAATCCAGATTAAGCAAAAGTGTCCAGATTCAGACCCTGCTGAGAGCATTTGAGGCTCGTGACCGCAATATACAAGAAAGCAACTTCGACAGAGTGAACTTCTGGTCCATGGTCAACTTGGGAGTAATGGTGGTGGTATCCGCTGTTCAGGTTTACATGCTGAAAAGTCTCTTTGAAGATAAGAGGAAAAGTAGAACTTAATACTCAGTATGATCATACCAACATAACAGATATGAGGGGAGAGAAGGAGCAATAAACTTCTACAGTAAAGATTAAAAAAAGGAAAACACGACCTTATAGATTATTTTGAACAGGCAGTAGACATCAGGCTTTCAATTCATGTTGGGCTTTTTGATTGTTTTGTGGTGGTTGTCTTGTCTATTTGTTTTTTTAACACAAACAGAATGGCTTGCCCCAAGGTCTTCCATTTTTGCAAATGCTACTAACAATATTTTTTTTTTTTTTGTACTTGTAGCATTTGTTAATGACTAACATGCATAGGGCACGGGATGCTTGGTGCATATGCAAAGTAATGTTGATAGTGTAATATTTTTCATATTCATATAAAATTTAAGTGGTAACTTCAACATTGGTTTAGTTCCTGTTAAACATTGAGTGAATTTACATGTGCCTAAGTGTTTACAGGATTGAGGCCCACTGGGGTAGTTTGTAGTTACTGTCACTTATTTTCAAAGTTACATGTTTTTAAAAATCCTCAGTTTTTGTTGCATAGCATCACAGAGAAACACTGAGCTAACATTGTAAGAACAAAATGAGAACTCTTTATATACAGATGACTAACATCAACACTTTAAAAAGATACCATCAATATGAAATTGAGTCAGTGTTGAAAAGAATTGGAGAAATAAGTGCAATTCCTGTTTGTATATCTTTGTCCTGTAGTTGTACAACCCCCTTTTCCTTTTTGGCTGTTACATGAGATTCAAGAGACGAGTGACTATATGGTATACAAACAAATGCACGCACCCCTTGAAATATGGTTTGCAAACTCTTGGTTATTGTAACCTCATGTAATAGATAATTTTCAGTAAGTCATTTCTCTCATTCTTTCCCCTCTAATAAAGGGGGGTCTGTCACAGTATGTGAAAATGTTACATTAATTTTTGTTGTCTCACAATCCCTCATTTGTCCATTTATTTCTTACTTGCCCATTTAGTTTTTGTCAACATCTAGGAATAGTGTAGCTGTAAACAGGGTGACTTACATAGGCATGAAAAACCAAAGCTGTTAACCTAAACTTTCCCTTCTTGCTTACCCTCACACGTCTTTTAGATGTATAAGTACGCTCAGTTCATATGAGCAGTGTTTCTATATATAGGTATTTATACAAGGCATGAATTACATGAGCCGTAAGTTCAGGCTTCAAATTTTAGCATCAACTGAATCTGTAATATCACTTAACTAAGGCAAAGCTATCCTTAAATCAGTAATTTGTAATTTCTACATGAAGTGACTTTTAACAGTGGAGTGAGGGTTTGGAGAATTTTTGCCAAAACCTCTTCTATGTGACAATTACCTTTTTTTAAATAGTTCAAAGTTAGTCACTTTTACTATGTGCCAAGTCACTGAAGTTTCCTATATAAATGTGTTAAACTACATTTTGTCAGAAGTGGTTTTAAAAAACACTTTCTTAAAAATTACTTAAAAAAAAAAGGGTTGTGCCTGTTGGCTCATTTGGCTATGAAAAGCAAAATTGCAATTGTGAGACTTTCTGTGTTCAAAAAGTATTTTATGGAGATAAAACAGGGTCAACAAATTCATGAAGAAACACTTTGTTCAAATGAAGCAGATGCTAGCAAGGGCTACAGTACATTGAAACAGTACTTCAGCTTCAACTTTAACAATGGGACCTAGCAATAATATTTCTAAATAGTTTTTATAAGCAAAGGTATTATTCCTTACAGAACTTCTTATAAGAGGGCTCCAAAGGCTGTTGACCTACTGTTTCTTTCTGCAAAGCTGTGCCAAGAATAAGGTTGCTTCCCTTGAGGGTTCTGCATATTTTTCCACCTGATGCTTTCTATTCTAAACTGACTGGAATTAGAAAGTTTATTTCCATGATCAGGACAATGCCTAGAAAAAATTAACTCTTTCTGCTGGCATAGCAAATATCTTTATGCCATTTCCCTGTACATCTCCCAGTACCAATATACTAAATATCTCCATGAGGGCATAAGCCAAAGCTCATTGAAGTCAACTTCCAAGGTTTTGATCAGGTCCCTTCAGGACAGGCAGATAAGATTTAGGGCTCTGCCCCTTTTGCTAGAAGAGCAGAATCATCTTCCCTTACATTACTATGAGTGTGATGCTACAAACCATATTCAAAACGCTGAACCAGCTCTGTGAAGCTGTGACCATGACATCTACCTCTTAAATCAAAGCTACTAGATTCTAGATTTCAGCTCAGACCAACACGAATTCAGTCAATTTTTCCAAGGGCACCTTGGGGGATTACATTCCCCAGCTGCTCTGCTGTGCCTCTCTGACAGTGGTTATACATCCAGTGGCAAAACAATATGGTGTATTAGTTTAAGCCTCTAATGAATGCAGAGTTCTCTGATCAAGACAGAAGACTGAACTGCAGCAGTTTCTCCGATTACAAATAGCAGTCTCTGTTAGAAGAAAAATAATGCAACAATTGTCAGCAGAGTTCATGTGGAAGAAATTACTATTTTGCAACGAAGAGCTCTGACTACTTTCTCCCCATTCAAGGTTCATTACAGAAAACAATACAGGGAATAATTGTGAACTTAACTGTGCTTTGACTGTGGCAGCTGGAATATATTTATCATAGGTGAAGGATCTGGCATTTAAACTTGCAGCTAAATAACGTTTCATTGGGATTTTGACAAGTAGATTGCTTTTGATTGTATAAAATTTACGAAGGAGAATATAACTAAATTTTTTTCTTAATGGATTTTTTTATTCAGAATTACATGTTTTAAGACTTCAAGATGTTGAATAAAATTATGCAAAACTGATTTGCAATAAATGAACTTCAAACATGTGTGTTCTTCATTTTGTAATGAAGGAATAATGCTTTACCTGTGAATGCTGCAAAATATCAAGGGTGCTAAGCTAACAAGAACCTTGTTTTTAGTAATGTAGCTTTTTAATTTCTTCCTCATGCAGTGTTCAAATTCTGTTGTTGTTATTCACTGTAACCCAAAATCAACTTTATCAATGCAAATTACCTAAGATTTAGATAGGTGTCAGATCAGAATGATACTAACCTCTGATCTTTGGAACTTCAAAATTAAATGTATTTTCTGTTATCCAATGCATGTCAGGTACAAGTTAATTTTTTCATTTTTTATTTCTTCAATATTTGTACTTTAATTCTTGTATTCCACACATGCACGGAACAGGATAGCTTCCAGTTATGCAGGCAATAAGGTAAGGAGCAATTCCAGTAACAATAGTAGGTACTGTCTTGTGCAAAATTGTAGTGGAGGTCAGTAACACTACTGAGACTAGTAAAGTTCTGTGTTCAAAGCAAGAGACAGACCCTCAGGCCAGCCTAAGTCAAGATCGCTTGATATTAAATCAGCACTTGTGCCTGGAAAACTATTTGTCTAGGTATTACTTGTTAGTAACTAAAGTCCCAGGTTTGTCACCTCAATAAGTGAGAGGAAATATCCCAAGGAAGTGATGATGGGATTTTGTAAGCTTGTGATACCACAGAAAGAGCAACAAATTGACACTTGAACTCAAAAAAAGCACCTTACTGCTGTAACCCAATGGCCATTTGTCCTCACTGACTCTTCAAAAAAGGGTTTACAGAATGTCTTGATACATTGTTCTAACTTGCATGCCTGTTTGTGCAGGTCCAATTAACAACAGTAAGTCACATGAAACTATGAGAAGAATTAACAAGAGTAAATGAATTTTTCAGCAGCAAACCAACTGACATCATCTGATGATCTGTTGAGTGCTTCCATTAATTCTTCTATTTTCTTCCTCTAAAGAAACAATTTATTTGACAATGTAAGTATTTTCATTTCTGATTAGGTAGATTCAACATATTAAACACCTAGGGAAAAAAGAAACAGGAAAATAGTGTCACAGAATAGCAAAGTGTAGCAATTAAGAATCCCATAATATAAATCAGTAGTTATGCAATAATTTTACATTCTTCTGAAGAGAATATGCAGAATAGCAAAGTGTAGCAATTAAGAATCCCATAATATAAATCAGTAGTTATGCAATAATTTTACATTCTTCTGAAGAGAATATGCAAGATCCCATGACTAAAAGGTCAAAATTTTGAAGCATTTTTTTCAGCTTAATCGAGTAATACACATGACAAACCCAAGCTTGTTTACCACTTCATAAGACTGAGAAACCTTGGCCTGTCCGGAAGCCTGCTAACCACATTGTTCAAATAATGAAACAGGAACTTCCTTTGCGTACTGTGTTTTGAATCGATTAAATAGATATCATAAAATACTAAGGTACAATATTATGTTTCCAGATTGGGCAATTAATAGTAGGAACAGTGGTTCCTTGAAAAGGTACATGCACAGTAAAAACTATCAAAAGCCATTTTGGACAAAGACGTCAGAAATACACAGAGAAGTTCCCTTTCCTGGTCTCTTGCACACCATGAGAGATGACACCTTCTGATACCTTCTGCCTTCATTTCCTCTTATGTACAGCACAACACTTACCTCAGACTGGGACAGGTCCACTGCATCTCACATACTCAACAGTGTAAACTTCCTTGTTGAACTTTGCTCATTTGTCAGGTTGCAGCACTACCCTCCAAGCCCACGACCATGTGGTATGGTGCTAACACAACCTTGTTCATTTTTATTCAGCCAGCCACAGCAATTACTTTTCTTTTTTCCCCTGAGTATTTTTAAAGTAAATATTTACACAGCAATCTGTCCTAAATACTCATTATCCCCAACAGGTAATTAAGACAGCATAGAACTAAGTAGATTGAGCTATATCTGATACAATTTAAAAAGTAACAGTTCCCATGCCTTCCCCTGTTTCAAAGAACCATTCTCTTTGACAATGTTTCATTTTAAAACTTGCCAACTTTTGCTGCAGACAGAAGACACACAACTCTTAGTTACTGATGAGAAATGGCTTACGTTAAGCCCTTCCTTTTTCATGATTTCCCCCTGCTCCAGTAGTGCCCTATGACAGAAAGTCAGTATTTATACACGAGAAATGCTCATACAGAGATGAGTAAGCACCATATTCATAAATTATTGCAGAGCAAATAAAGTTACATGCCTTACTGTATGATTTTGTTTTCAAAACCAAGAATTTACTTAAGGTAACTGTTGATTTTTAATCACAAATAAAGACAATAAAATAGTAGTAAAATAAGCAACGTACAGAAAAAAAAAAAAAAAAAGTAGTAAACACCTACACTGCTGATGTTTTAACAGAAGCATCTGAATAACATGATCTTCTCTCATGCTATTAATTGCTATAATTGAGGACAGTTAATGAGAGTTGGAACCCCTAAAAGCTCCAAAGTCCCTTTGTTCCCTCAGTGTGTACCATGCTTCTGGCAACAGGATATCCTTCAACTCTCCATCTGCTGCCTGCCAAACTGGAATACAGGTGTGGAAGGAAGGCACAGAGTTGCCAAGAGAGAAGTTCTAAAAGCATGTATCTATAGTCTATCTTTATTTCAAGACATTAAAGGACCTGGCATGAACCATTTAATGAAGGTAATTTTGCTATTATGCTGGAGGATTTCAGGGAGTAGTAAAAATCAATTAAGTTGAGTCAAAAATACTCATGACTGTCCATACAAAGAGCTTCTGACTGTTCAATCAATCACAGTTCCAAAAACAGCTAAATACTCCTGATTACATTCTCTGCAGAGCAGGGAAAAGGGCAGAACCAGACCGCACCAGCCTGCCTCCAAAGCCCTGAGCATGCTTCAGCCATTACTCACTTAAGCTGCCTCTCCAAAAATGATTCTTCCCAGTCACTTCTCTTCCACAGGATGACACCACAAGACTGCGAGGAAGGAAGCAAGCTCAGGCAGCAAGTGGCCAGACAAATAGGAGTTCCCATTCTAAAGCTTCAGCACTTACCCCTGAATGACTATGGGTCAGGGGAGCACCTACAGTACCTGGACTCATTACCACAAGCAAAGAAGAAAAAGCATAGAAGGAAAGAAGGCAAGGACTGAATTAGCGATTTTTTTTTTTTTTCAGTCCAAAGACTTCTAAGTGGGATGAGAAATGCTTACTAAAAGACTTCCATAAAAATAATAAATTAATCTTGTAATTCAATACATTAAAGTGGTTTCTCATTGTATTCCCCAAACCTGTGTATTTCTACACGTAAGTACATGCATATTTACGTATCCATACTTTTCTGCAACAAGCCAGTTAGCCCCCCTAGTCAGTTTGTCAGAAAGGACAGTTCTGAGTATGGATTTTGTACAAAAAGCATCACTTTGCCTAATCAAGGAACTCCGTGTTTTCATCTTGATCAATTATTAGTTCTACCTTATATTCTTCCCCTTCTTAGGCTCACTACCTCTTTGCCTCCATCTGTCTCTTCCTTATACCTCACCTATACATAATCCAACTTAAAATTAAAAAAAAAAAAAAAAAACAAACTACTTTTCTACAAACGTTGACAACTCGATTTTTTTCCTCACGCATTACTATGTTTTTCTGACCAAACTAGGATCTCAGTAGATCTGACACCTCCACACGTATACAGCCATCAACTTAAGTTCAGCATCAACCGAACGCAACTCACCACCCTAAACCCTTTTCTCCAGTTCTAAAAAATATCATTTTCCTCCATCATAACTTAGCTGCAGTGTTACTTTTCATTCTGGCAGATGTAGGGGAACTAGAGAAGTAACAATTTAAAAGCCTGAAACTGTTACCTGCATAGCATTTGCAAGATACCTCCTCTTCCCTCTGTGCACACAAGTGATGCTCTTGTCCGGTTGATCCTTACCACTGTGTTCTGACTATGGCTCCATCTCCAGCCTTGTTCCATCTGAATTCACAGATTTCCTTTCAAAATATAACACTAAAGATCAATTTAGTAGGATGCTCCAAGCACATGACCATTCTTGTATTTATCCACTTATCTTCCCCCCACTCCCTAGACAACAAACTGCTTGTCTTCACCTTCAAGGCCTTTTTTGATTTATTTCTGTCTTCATGTTAAATCAAACTATTGACCTTAACTTCACATATCATGCTGAGAGATTTTTCAAAATTCCTTTGTACTCTCACTCAAAATGCCTGTTATGCATAGAAAAGCATTGTTTTTATTCAAAATTGCTCTTGAAGTTTTTGTTGAGAACAATGATTTGACAAGTAGTTTGCTATGACAATTATTTTACAATTCTGACCAGCTATTTCTTTGCTGTCTTATTCATGTGATGCCTGCAATTTTAGAATGGCCTCAAGAGATACTTCATCTACCTAAATACTACTGTAATACAATATATAATGGAAAAATATTAGATCTGATACACATATAAATTGTTCTAAACCAGTGACCACAACAAAGTTGAATTACATATATTTACACACATGCATACATACAATAATCAAGTCATACCAAAATTAAATCGTTAGGTACAAGCAACATTTGTATTTTTCTTTTAGACACTCCATTACACTACATACAATGAAATTCACATAAAATGAGAAAAAGGCATTTGTAGGTGTGCTTTAATTACTACTTTAGCTGTATCTTCAGCAGCACTATTGCAGCATTTTTCCAGTACATGACACCTTGTAACAAAGCATCCCTCAAGCATAGGTGGAACACTAGTTAGTGTCTACGTGCAGGGCAAGTGTCTCCAGGACAGTAACAGGGAAGCTATAGAGAAACAATGGATGGGAGAATGCCACCAACTATATACTTCACAAGAATACAGAATCAAAACTCATTCTTCTCTCTCAAAAAATACACACATTTAATATTGGTCTTTTAATTCTAAGAAAAAAGCAATTCCAAAAATACAAACTGA